CAGCCCGAGATGCTATCAGCAGCCACAAGCCAGCCCGCGAGCGCAGCGGCACGAGTCAGGTCGAGCCGAGACGAACGAACTCGGGCACAGTGGAGCGGAAATGGGAAAAGCTCTGGCCAAACTTAAGATGCATTCGAACCTTCAAGAAGTTGGAGTACTTCCGTTTTGATTTTTGAAGTAATACTTTCTCATTTAAGCAGGTAGCTGCTAATTATTCCAAGAAGATTTTAGATATAAGTAAGTCTTATTTAAAAAACGAACTAGTAAACATAACTATAAAGAAAATATAATAATGCCTCTCAACATTAAAGTAAGCTAGGATTGTGAATGGCAAAGAAAAGCCTAATTTAATATATAGACAAAAATATTACGATCAATTACTGATCGAAAATATCTTTGTTTGATACATACAAATTTAAAATATCAATAAATATTGCATATCATTAAAGACAATATAACAAAATATATTAAATTGATATCATAAATTCATAAAAAAAGACAAATTGTTTAGGAACTATGTTTAGATTTTGACAATCTCTTTATATTTACACAAATGATATTTCGCACTATTAAGGAACTTTAGTTGATAAAAATTCGTAGGTTTTCTTCTTAAAATTCATCTTCAGAATATTTAAAAAGGATCCTAAATCAAAATGCTTGAAATACTCCTGAGGATTTGGGATTAGTTAAGAAAGCTTTCCTGTTGTTTTTTGACCGATAGTATTAAACCATAATTATCCAAAATGTAAGGATTATATACCTATCATATCAAGAAATTATATAGTACCACTGTTCCTGGTGAGGGGGCTTTAAGTGCTTGTTTTTTTCTTAAATAGCATTATTATCAACTGTGTCTTAATGTTGTATACAGTCAATCACCCCCAACTCTCGCGCCCGCAATCGAACCCACCGATTTGCACATATAAGTAAGTAGCTATAAGAAATTAAATCTTTCTAGATTCACACCCCGCCCCCTGCTCCCAGGAATTTGACACTTCTCAAGTCTCAGGTGGTGTGCGATGTGCATTGAACTCGGTTTAACCTGCACAGCATGGAAATCAGACTGAAGTCCGCCTGCAGCCCATAGCAACTGTGGTATATAGTGACTTCCGTAATAATAAACCATTTGTTTACTTATTACAGCCCAAACGGATATACATATGTTGGGCCCAAGAGATATATTTGTAAGTTCTCGCTCTCTTCCCCGGATTAAAGATATTTTTAGCCATCTCACAGCTGCTGGCCAAGCCCCAAAGAGAAGACATTACCAAAATGGAGGGCACGTCCACCAGAGGTTAAATTTGCATTTTGAAACAAAGAAGTTTCCTCTGTCCTGCTTAAAAATACTCAGGATATGTTTTATGAGCAAGAATACCGTAAAAATGTCCATACCATAACTGCGTCAAATGGTTCAATGATCGCACAAGTTGATAAATCCGTGAACTTATCTGCAGGTTAAGTTTCTGGTTTACATTTTCACACAAACCAGAACCGAAAAGCGATTAACCTTCAGGCCAACATTACGAGCATGTTGGCAATTTGAATGGTTTGAAGTTGTTCGGGCGGCCGAAAGGAGGAGGTGAGAGCTCAGCTATGCCAAGAATTGAAACAATTCTTATACGAAATAGCAAACACAAGCAGCTGTTATCTGCGAGATTCTCTTAGAGTTCAAAACAAAAGTGGGAAGAGTATTTCAAAGAGAGTATCGAAGAGAGATCCAATGATCATTCATTTGGCGCGTGATCAATCGAAGCGAAAGGCTCAGAAACTGCTTCCAATTTCATTGCTCTTTTCTTCGCTCTCGGCCTTTATAGCTTCCATGCAATTGGCCAGTACTGGTGGCTTGTGGGCCGCGTTTATAAACAATTATTATAACGAGCGCAGTGAAAATAAGCAACAAAACAACAAGCTGCTAAACTTAATGCTGACCAAGATACCAGCGAATACGCCAACGAAAACAAAGCGAACCACAATCCGGTTTACCAACTTCAACTGTCTGGAGGGGGAACATTTTTCGTCTCGTTTCGGAAATATTTCGATTGTTTTTGTTTGGCCAAAACGATTTCATTGGCGTGCCCCTTAACGAATCAGACAGAAAAGTGTGTTAAAGTGAATAGAAAACAACAAAGCAAACAAATTAGATAACAAGCGAATTGTAATATTGTCTCGAGAAACAGAAACCTGATGAGCGCGTTTTGCAGACGTTCAAAGTTCAACTGCATTTTTAATTTTTATATATTTGTCTCTGAAGTGATTTCTTGTTTTTATTTTGTATACTATTGCCTTTTGGTTTGATTCAGTTTTTTATAGATTACGAATTTCGTTGATAAGGCGGTTTATTTAGGAGTTTTATTTTGGCAATTGCTGAATAATTCATCTTTTTATAGACCTATGCATATATTATTGTTTCGAGTTCCCTAGCCTTTGGAAAGTAATTGAAATAAATGAAAAGAAGGCAAGAAGTGATAAGGTTATTATTAATATGAAAAACCTATGATTCAGCTTTAAAGTTAACTTGTTTTTGTTTTTAAATAATAGCATATTTTTGTCAATGCTAATATCTAAAATTTACTAAAAATTTACTATATTTAGTTCTAGTGGAGAATTTTACACACTTTGCTTTTCTAGGCCTGCTCAAAAAACTTACCTTCATCCTTCAGATCAAAGATCTCCACAACGAGCTCCTCATCGCTGAGCAGTTCAAGTGAAGCTGCCTCGTCCAGGGTCAGATCTTCGCCGTTGCCAATTAGTGAAATGCCTGCAAGATACCGGAAAACTTTAATTCTCTATCCTATAATAGCAATCATTAAGCACAGACCATTTGCAAAGTTATCGTCATACAACCACTCGGCATCTGTTGGCTCAGTGAGCGCGAACAGATCGGAGGATGCCGCCGCCGATGTTGGGGACTGCGGCTCCAGCTTGAGGTCCCAGTAAAGCTCCTTGGGCAGCTGCAAGCTCTCCATGGTTTGTTGAAATGATGTTGCGTCCATATTCAAAGTTGTTAAAATCAAAAGTTACAGGTGATATACTTTGGGATGCGAGAGAAAAGTCCGGACTGAATAATGCAATGGGTTGTTGTTGTTGCTGTGCTTGTTGTTGTTGTGAGGATGCCATGATGGCGCTGAAATAGATTGCAAAAAGACGAATCACAATCAGAGTTCACCAGGTGAAGCCTTGTTACACTATTACTGAGCATTACTTGCATGGCCCGCACTGTTTGATGTGCACTAAGCCCCCTCCGAAGACGCGAATGAAGCAGAATCGCGTGCATCGTCATGCTGATAAGCTGTCGTCACCCCTTCAGACCCCGATTTCTGACCAAATTCAACGGAATAATGTGAAAATCAAATTTTGAACTTAAACTTCAGACGCTCATATCTAATCGCTAGCCGAGCATGTCCGTGGGCCTGCCCTAATACGTCGGTGTGTGTGTCACCTAGTCTTTTAAGTTTTATAGTTTCTGATCGGATACACATATCAAAATTAAATATATTTCAAACAATTCACTTTAGCACTCTACTCAAAGATTTAATCCCGAAACAACATTTTAAAATTCAACAATATACAGAATAACAGTATCCCGGCTTTATCTATTATCTAAAATTACTTAGAAAGTAATAATTACAAATATCAAATATTAAAAAAAAAACAAAAATTAAACACAATAAATATTTCTGTTTAGGTGGAAAAGCAATTTCCCATGATCGGACATACAATAACTCTCTATTCCAGCGAAAGCGAACAAAGGAAATGCGTTGCAGGTGCTGCAACAGTGATGGTTCGGAGAAATTGTGTGCTGGTTTGTTGTCAGGAGAGCCGACTGTTGCATGACTCATCTCCCAACTCTCACACGTGCTGCAAGTTGCAACGCGGATTACCCAACTCCAGGCAGCTATTGCGTCAGCCAATTTCTGGTTGCATGCCCCATTGCCTTGGATTTGGACTGGAATTGGTAACTGTATATGCCACGTTAACACTGCATTGTGGCCTAAACGAGAATCCGTACAAGCCCACACACACACATGCTTGCAGCAACAGAAACGGTGCAACGCCAAAGTGCGGCAGTGTGTGTAAGTGACAGACATTGCGAAATTAGCGTTCGAACATTCGATTTTGGGCTACTTACGTTTGCTTTTTATACGTTTCCATTTTGTTGTGTGTTGGGGCACCTAGGTGCAGGTTGATTTGCTTGCGCACAATCTATAGAGCCATCTTTACGTCAATATAAATGCCGAAATCGCTGAAGGAAGTAAATATTGAACTTTTTTGCGTTTCATTTGGAACGATAATGACGATACCGATAGATTCGTTAGAGCTGGAAGAAAGTCGATGTCGATATCGATACTATTGTCGTGTTGCAGAGGCGATACATCGATTTCACTTATTGAGAAACTGGGTGCAAAAAATGCCCTCTAACTCAGTAAAGGCCGAGAGTTCTAAATTATCCACTTTTAATCTAATATAAATGCGTTCACAAAATGATTCCCTTTGTTGAGGATGGGAAATATGAACGATATTTTTCGCCTACCGATAGTCTCTCACAATTGCGCCTTACGTCGGCCATTTTTAGGCCCTTTTGGTGTTTATCAGCCAAACGATACCTTGACAACCGTGGGAGGGCGAGGGCTCGCTCCTCGCATTTACTTAATATGTGTTAAAGTGTAATTAAACTACGTAGCAGCTTTGCAAGTGCGCGTGTGTGCGTCGTCGATGCGTCTCTGTGCCCAGTGCGTTGTGGGTGTGTTGGGTGCGAACTCCTCGGCTTTCTTGGGGGCAGCTGCAGTTGCGCCCCCAACGCTGAGTGCGCGTGTGTGTGTGGGCACAGAAAATAGGCAATAGAAAAACGGAGGCAGAGTCCCAGAGGTCAAAAGTGCAAACGCTTGTGGCACCCGGAGCGCGGAAACTGGAATTTTGAGCGCCCAAGGTTGGAGAAGGGAATCGCAAGCCCAAGTTCCTGGTTTGTTTTGTTTTTCCGCAGGAAGCCAACTAGAGGCACCTTTGTTTGGGCCTCTGCATGGGTGTATGGGTGTGTGCGTGTGCCAGCTCGCTCGCTCTTCCTCGCATTCCTTCATTCCCGTGCTGATAAGCAAAGGGGAGCGCAAAAGAGAGAGAGAAAACCCGCGTCAGCTGTTCATTGTTTTGGTTGTGTGCGCGCCGCACAGGTTTCGCCCGCTTTCCAGCTCGGTTCTTCGATCAGTTCCGTTTGTGGAATGGAATGGAACCGCTCGTTCTTTTCACACCGCCAATCTTTTCCGCCTCCCACCGCTTGCCACAAGCCGAACCGCGCGTGCTCTCGAGCGTTTTGTCGATCGCCCAGCAATTGAGTTTCCATTATCAGCAATTGCCCGCGCGGTAAGAAGAAGCGCGACTACTGACGTCTCGCTCTCTGACGTCCACGTCTCCGTCCCAGTCCCCCTCCGGTGCTCCTACGCTCGCGATTAATATTGTTATTATTGTGTGCTTCGTTGTGACGCAGTTAACGGCAAAAGCGGGGCGTGTTGTTGGTCGGAAAAGCCGCCAAGCGGACCAGGTGTAGGTATCGCGGAAAGCTAGGAAAACGCAAAGTGTCGCTATCAAATCAACGATTGATTCGTTAAGGAACCGCACCAATTAGCAATTTAATTAGTGACCAACAGCTCGCTTTAGTGTGTTTATTAATAAATGTGCTAATGTCCAGTAAATCACGATAAATATTTTCGTACCAATCTCAGCGCTATCAGCTACCATTTGACCCGCGAGCCGCTTTCGGAGCGATGGAAAAACCCCAACCAGTCGGAAAAAGGGCCAGTGCCAGTAGTTAATTGCCAGAGAGACATTAAAAAACCATTAAATGTGCCCCGTCACGACCAATAAAATCCAAGAGTGAAGTATTTGCATAGACATCCCCTCGAATTCGTCCCCCAAAAATGATGCTGAACAAATACGAGAGCTATCAACGCACAAGCCAGATGTTTCCCCACCAGCAGCAGTCACTTCCGCAACAGCAGCAGCATCAGCAGCAGCCGCAGCTGATCCCGCAGCAAATCCCGCAGCAAGCCATCTTCCCGCACCTGCAATATGGAACTGGAGGCACTGGAGCGGCAGCAGCCGCCGCTGCCGAGTCGGAGCGTGAATCCATACACTCTGGCCAGTTCATGGTGTCGCACTTTGAGGCCGAGGAGGCGCAGGACGACCTCGAGGATGATGGCGAGGTGAAGATGCTTGATCCCGAGGACCCTAGTCTGGACAAGACGGGCGAACCGGCCAACACCTGTCGCGATGTCCAGCTGTATGTGCCCCAGACGGTGGCCCACTTCAACCGGATGGACCAGGAGGGCGACGAGAGCAGCATGGGCCTGATCACCTCCCATCTGGAGATCGAGACCTCGTTGACCAAGCTCTTCAAGTGCATGAACCTTGCCTACAGGTGAGTCTGCTGGGACACGTGCCCGCATAAAGAAAAACGAAAGAAAGAAATGTAGTTTCCCGCTCGTTCACGCGTTCCGCGCGTGATAGCCGAAATAAAAAATAAAACTGGCCAACGAAAATCCAGCAACCAAAAAGCTGGGACCGCTGCTTCGGTCGCATAATCGCGGCACATGTTGCGACGCGACGTCGCTGCTCGGGTTACTTTGGACCCCAAACTTCGCCTTAATCGCTCGTCCACCTTCCTCCCGCCCCTCCCCATTAGCGGGACGGTGCTTCTCCCATTTCTGCAAACGCCAGCGCAATCATCGCGAAAATAATACCAGAGTAATGGGCCCAATGATATCGGAGTGATTCCGGGCCACATTCACCTGTGTACGTGTATTTGTACCTGGCACAGCCAATTGGCGCATATAGGGCGCCGAATAAAATGCCAACTATTTGAATTTAATTCTTTACATTCAATTCGGTTTCGATTTATATTACTTGGTTAGTTTTTGTAATCAGCAAAAATACTTTTTGGATAGTCTTTTAAAAACAATAATATCTGTTCCCACTTTTAAATTAGATAATATTATTAGGAATCTAAAACTTTTCGTATTTAATAATTTAACAAAATTAGGTTTCGAATTTTACTACATAAATTACAAAACATAATCATGACTATTTAATGAATGAAATAGATTAGGTTCGATTTGATTAAATTTATTTAGAAAATTAAAGTGAAATTAGGAGCATAAATTACAGACAATTTATGTGCTATTGTTATTTAAAATGTAAGTAATGACAGCCCAATTTTTTTTAATTTGAATCCTTTTTTTACATTCTATAAGAAATTTAAATACCCTAGTAATTTCGAAGAATTATTATTATTATTATTGTTGGGAATTAAAGCTACAATGCAAGCGTCAAGTTCAAATATGCTAAACGGGTCCCTTTTGTGCTATGTTGCATTTTTATTTATGCTTTTTAAAAATCTTTTTTGGTGACCACAAATTAATCATCATAAATAGTTTAATGATAGCAAACTTCCCAAAGCGGATCTCTCACTACGAAGTATTTATCACAGCTCAAATTAAAACATTTAAAGCAAAGAAGAATACATTATAAAACCATATTATATATATTTCCGTATTTTAAAAACACCCATAGAGAACTATCTTTGTTATTATGGTTGTATCTTTCAATCTATAAAATGTACACTGTAAATAATATTCACTTTACAAGCCTAGTAATAGTTACTAGGTATCTACCTGCTCAATTCTTGTTCCATTATTGTTATTGGCATTTCAAGTCTACCATATTTGGTTCACGGAGCTGTTTAGTCATCGCCAAAAATCGTATGAGACGCTTTCGTCTATTCGATCTATTTTTAACTCATGTAGCCGGTACTTTTTTATTTTTTTGGTACGCCTTCCGATTTCAGCTTCTTTTGCTGTTAATTCGTCTGCCTGGCCAGCGGTGTAGCGTTTTTTATGAGACCCTTTGGCCTTATCAGTGAGAAGTACTGTGCGCGATGGCGCTTATCAGCGGCAGCATTTATACAGGACTTTCATTCAGTTTTGTTTTGTTTTATTTCGCTAATTGTTGTTATTGCCTTTGCTAAACAAACTGCGCGGTGGGGTAATATTCTGCTATTAGATAATGCGCAAATAGCGCGGCAAAAGCAGTCGTGGGTTGAAAGAATAGTTATTAAACCTGAACGGGCCCCCAACAACTCGTCAGATTAGTTAAGTGTAAACTAAGAGGTGTTACTAAAAGCGTTTAGATTATAGAGACATTGGAGGGATATTTAGTATAGTATAGTATAGTATATAGTTTGTGTTAAAAGTGAAGAGAGACTATAATCAAAATATACTTGGCGCCTTTTCCTAATGCAAAATTCAGGGAATTGTCTTTCCAAAAACCTGTTAAAATCAGTGCTTGCATTGTTATAAAAAAAAAACAAGTTCGTGTAGTATCAAAATCCAATATGAAAACCGATTCTTGAATGCCCTCTCCAGAAATAACTCTAATAAAATTGTATACCCTTTCAAGGGTATTATAATTTTGTTCAGAAGCTTGCCAAGCAGTGAATGAATCATTTTTGACCCTATAAACCATATATATTCTTGATCAGCATCAACAGCCGAATCGATATAGCAATGTCTGATACCAGACAGATTAATTATTTCTGGCTTAGTTAAGAGTATTTTAAACATCGATTTTCTATAAAAATTGTCATATAAAAATGTATAAATAATTCAAAGAGGGCAATTATTTTATTTCAATTATTATTTATCACGAAGTTAAATTTCTTTCTTGTTAAATATTAAATTGTATTTATATTAAACTGCTTAGCTCCTTGGGATAATAAAAAATATCATATGTTCCCTAGTTAATACCTGATTAGTTCCCTAACAATATGTGTCTGGTCGACCAACTTTGATAACTCGTTTTTCGAGCCAGACGAAATCCAAAAATTTACAATTCCATTAACCCGAATACAAATGCAGGCATTTAAAATGTAGACATATTTGAGAGATTTATGCCTTAAATGCCACAGACAGAGAGGGGGTGGCCATTTGGTGACGCAGAATTGGAATTATTATCCCTCCCATAGAATTTGGCACATTTTGGGGAGAGTGTGAAAACTGGATTTGTGCCAATGCCCCTCGTGTTATATGATTGTCAATACAGGAAGTTAATCATAGACCCAGTAATAACGTCACTAGATAGTGAGGTATTGGCATGATGGAGGGAGGGAACTCTACCACCTCCTCCACATGGGAATGCGGGTTAAGAGCTCTCGGTTGTGCAATTCAATGCTCCCTCCCCGAGAATGGCGGCAGCAACTGACAGGTATTTACCTGATGTTTGCTTAATAATTTCTACTGAATCATCAGCTATGATAATAGCACAAACAATAACAATGGTAAATCAACAGTATAAACAACAACCACATATCGGGTATATGGCTGAAAATGATTGCTGGTTGTTTATTATATCGCATTCACATAGTAATATATATATCCCCTAATTGTTTTTGGCCAAAAGCAAAGCCATTCGATAATCCTCTAAGCTGGGGAATACTTGATTGGGAAAGCAGGATTATGACAGTTTGGTTGTTAAATATATTTTCATGCACACAGATGTGCACAAACAGGCTGATTTCCCAGAGATAGCGCCCTTGCTGGGGTTAGGGGTCTTTTTATTTTTAGACCACAATCTGCGCAATGTTTATATATTTATAAATAAATCGATTAATTGTAAACTGATACCTTTTGGCAGATAGGACTATATCATATTAGGGGGAGATTTCTTTCCGTATTTGCTTACTGTGGAGAACAATTAATACTTTTAAACATTATTTCTAATGTTTACTTATTTTTATTACAGTCAAAAACTCACCTCCCCCAAATGGAATCATTTCAAAGGTGTGCGACTGCGTTGGAAGGACAAAATCCGTCTCAACAATGTCATCTGGCGCTGCTGGCATATGCAATGTGAGTTATATTTTTAGAAAGTGAATCAATTCTTTTGAGTGGGAAATTAATTTCTGCGGGTTTTCAAATTAAGTAATAAATAAGCGCAAGCATTTAAACAGCTAAGTATGTGCAATGCAATTTTATGGCTTTTGCATTTAGAATTTATTACAGCGCAGATTTGGAATGTTCATATATCAATGAAGTGTTGAAGTTAGATTTCTAGGATTCTTTAAAATATTTTTAACGTTAGTGAGCACATATAGCCAAATCATCAATTGCTAAATTACTATTTTAAATAAAAGAGTTTTTATTTTGTAGATTAATACATACTTAAGAAGGTTTTAAGGGATCCTAATTTTTGATAAGATATTTAGAATTGAAGTTTAAACTTTTGAGATCTTAGAGCACAATATATTTGCTGTAATGTTTTGAATTAGAATTACAAAATATTCAAAAGTTTTTATAATTTATTATAATTGTATCTGAAGTAGTTCTTGTTTAGTAAGTACCCAAATCTTAAAAAAAGGATGCATATTAAGCATCTTTAAGATAGGAAACTCAAGCATTGGTCTAAGTTAATACATTTTTTCCAAATAGGTTTGAATTTCTTGTTTAAATTTATATTTGTTTACATTGGGTAATAAGAATCTTTTGATAGTTCGAGTCTCCAGTTGTTAATATTATTATCTTAACTAAGTATTGAATTTCAAATCGAACTGCAATGTATCGCATAGAAGAGCAAGTGTTAAGTTGGAATGATAAACAACTTTGGTTATTCCTATCTCTAATCTATGCAAATAAAGGTGGCAGTACATTATTAAATACTTAATTGAATCACATTTTAATGAAACTTGATTTCACCCCCAAAATATCTAATCAACCGAGTGCCAATAATTTGTTTTCCAATGTAAACAATCTGAGATAGGAATGACCCCTTCCCCCAAACACTTAGTTAGGCCACTTAAGACGCCACTCGGCAGAAGTTTTCCACATGTTTGCTATTGGCATTGGTTCCGCGATTGACCGCGATCGGCATTGGTAAAATATTCCAAACCAAATTATAGGCCACTTTAATGTTTATTTCCTTGAAAAGCGCGGCACGTGCAAAAGCCCCAGCGAGCAGAACACAATGTGGAGCGTTTAGGTGAGCGTTTAGGTGAGCGAATCGCAGAGCGGTAGCGATAGGCTCAAGCTTTTAAAGCACAGCGACGGAGACAGCAATGGCGACAAGCTATCTGCCTTCCCGCTCACGCCAAATAACGAGCTGCTAATGCCAATGGTGGAGCTGTGAAGCCTGAGAGAGTTGTCAACTGGTTTGTGGCAGATGCTCGGACATACTGGGGGGATGAGGTACACCTCCACTGGATGAGAGGGATGTCCGGATGACCGACGTTGCCAGGCGGCAACGCTTTGGCTGCCCTCGTTTCTCCACGACTCGGCTTTGTTATCAGCTCCGGGCGTCCCCCTTATCAGAGTCTGGACTCTCTCTGTGCCGCCGATTGTCATTTCATTTGAATTTCATGGGATTTGTTTTTGGGCCTGCTACTACTGCCTAATTAAGAGACGGGAACATAGTATGATTTCCTTGACTTCGTTAGTTATAGCACTTGCTCGTCTAGACAGACCCGGAGTTTTCCCATGGTCCGAATTGTGGCGCAGATGTCGCGGTTAGTCTGAAGTGTTTCATTGATTAGCACCTTGCCGTAGTCAAAGTCGGTTTCCCAGACAAAGGAGGTGAAATTCAGAAAGAAACGCGCACAGTTCGATCTGATTTTGGCTGCCGGCTGCCAAGTTTGCTACCTCTTACTGCTTCTGCTTCTGCTGCTGATATTATTTTCGAAAAATTTTCCGTTACATCATCAGAACGGACGGGGCAGCGCTGCTTTACAAGCCATCGCGTCAAGCGATTATCTCTGTGCTCTAATAGATGTCAGCGACAACGGAGGCAAATGGAAAATTTCATGTTTATTTATAAGGAACATACACAATTGTTTATATTTTATTCTCTGCAATTGTCTAGCTATCATTGGATACATTTTAAGCTATTACATCAGTTGATAAATCTTTGGGTTTTATTAGTGTTTAAAATTGAGATATAATTCTAGTTGCTCTATGTTTTAGGTTGATTTTATTTGTTTTGTGACTCAGACTTGCCTAAATGCCTTTTAATCTTAGAGGGATTTTTGTATACTTTGAACTTTCAATCGAATTAAAGGATCGGATATCGATCTTAACTAAGCTTAAAATATTTGCATTCTTGGAATCGATATTTTTATATGACCATTTTATTTTTCGTAATATAAAAAAAAGCTTAAAAATCTCATAACTAAGCCAAAAAAGCATTAATTTTAATTTGGAAAGCTTTCCTATGTTAGTTTTTATTAGGTTAATAAATCTTCATACTCAATTTTAAATTTTGGAAAATTTAAATTTTGGCCAATTTTTGTAAATTTTAATGATGTAACCCCTTATAAAAATTTCAAATTTTGAAAAAATTTCAAAAATTTATTTATTCACCGGACATGTCTAGATCGATTCGGCTGTTGATTCTGATCAAGAATATATATGGTTTATAGGGTCGGAAATGACTCCTTCAATGCGTTACAAGCTTTTGACTACAATTAGAATAGCCTGAAAGGGTATAAAAAACAGTGTAACTCCACACTTAACTAATAACTTAACATCAAGTTTCTCGTTTTTGTTTGCTATAATGAATCTGTTGTACTAATTAAGTTAGGTTGATATCTCCAGTAACCGCACGTTTTAACACGTCAAGCAAAACTCAGACAACACAAATGGTTTTGGAAATTCCCAGGCAGACTAACTCTTTTATCAATTATAAATGTCTGTGGAAAAATTCGGCCGTTTATGGGTTGTCTCTCCAAAAATAAATCTACATTACTTTAGCATTGTTAGGTAGAATATTATTAAACGAAAAAATTACCTGTAGCTCTCACAAAGCATAGGAATTGCTTTTAAAATCATATTTAGAATATGAATAAATTAATTTTGTATGAAATGTAATAGGAAAAAATAAATATTAATAAAGTAGGTTTTCTATTAAGTACATTAAATATAATAAATATATTTCCTTCAATATTCCCAGTTAAAATTAAACCAAAAATACCCTTAGTAAGATCGTAAGGGCAGGTACTTTCGTAAATAGATTAGAGTGCCTAGGTTTTTGTGAATCTCTCTCTCATGGCGGTGTTTTATATGGCTATTTGTGAACAGGGATTTAATTGATGTTTGCATTGTTAAGTTGGCAGCTACGTCAGAATTCTCGCAGTAACCCGTTGAGAAGAGGCAGCGCCTCTGCCACACGTGTTCCTGGTCGCTGTTGTCATCTCTGGGGAACTCTCTATTCTCTATCTATGTACCTCTCCATAGAATCTTATCACTTTTTATTTAGCTTTTTTTTTTTGAGTGTTCTCCGTACTAAACTGTGTGTTTGTGTATTTTCCATTTTTTTGCAGTCATACAAAAGCGCAGAACCCCGGTGTGTCAATTCGCATCGCCGCTGGACGTTGACATACATAGTAATCCTCAAGTAAGTATCAACTGTCAAGTGAACGTAGTGCTAAATAAGTGGGAAATGTGTTCAGTTAGTCAGGTAATCGATTAGACATCAACGAAAAAAAATAAACACATTACGCAAATACCAATTGTTAGGTGAATGTGCTTAAAAAAATCTAGAAAAAATCTACAAATAAATTGAAATGTTTGGAGAAAGGTGAGTCATAAGTTTTAGGTGCAAATCCATTAGAAACGTTTAAAAGTTCGCAAGTAATTGAAATATAAGTTTAGCTTTAATGTTGTTGATTTTAGGGTCATTATTAAATTTTGTATTTATTAATTCTGTAAACTTCACCACTATTAAGAGTTTAAAGCTAAAAATGAATAGAAGCAATTTACACCTTATTTATATGAGATGCTTTCACAATCTGATTCTGTCCTATAGTACGAATAACACGTACACACTACCTCATTTGTATACCCTTGCAGGTATTATAATTTCATTCAGAAGTTTGCAACGCAGTGAAGGAGGCACCTCCGACTATATGAAGTATATATATTCTTGATCAGGATCAACATCCGAGTCGATCTAGCCATGTCCGTCTGTCCGCTTCTACGCAAATTAGTCTCTCAGTTTTGAAGCTATCTGAATGAAACTTTGTAGTTAGCCTTCTATATACTCTCACTCGTATATATGTCGGTACGGGCCGGATCGGACGACTATATCATATAGCTGCCATAGGAATGATCGGAAAATTTTTACAAAAAAATGTTTAACTTTTTCAGTTTTCAATAGAATTGGATCAAATTTTAGATATAGCAATTTTACTATACTCTACAATTTTGTGTAAAATTTTATGAAAATCAGACTACTATATCAAATAGCTCCCATAGGAACGATCGAGAAATTAATAATACAATTAAATTTATAACTTTTTCAGTTTTCAGCTGATTTCATCAAATTTAAGGTATAGCGATTTTATATTAGTCTTAAATTTTGTGTCAAATTTCATGAAAATCGGACGATTTATCTACGACTATCTTATATGTAGGTGCCATACAAACGATCGTTTGATGTAGAGGAAAAATGCAAATCTGTGAATATAAAACTGCAATATAATATGTATAGGTGAATGAAATGAAAGCAGGTATTACTTCATTGTTTTTTAACACAAATATATATAATATATATTGTATGGATTCCTATTCATAGAAGTTCTATCTGCAAGGGTATATAAATTTCGGCGTGCCGAAGTTAGCTTTCTTTCTTGTGTGTACTTTATTTTGTAGTCCTATAGGTCATATAGTTTTCAATTCATTAATTTAAATGATATGTAATTTTAAACATTTAAATATTTATATTCAATATCTTTTAAATGCTTAACCACCATAAACCATAGACTTGAACTCTTGAGTCTTTATAATTCAGCTTTTAACGTATATCTAAACTTTTTTTCAAGAATATTCAGTTCAATATGCGTTATTTAACATATAAAGAGTCCACAGATCCTCGGAACAACTTTGTTAAAATAATATCAATTTAGTTTAATGAGGAGGTATTAATATAATAGTCGAGGTTACAAATTTTTTTTTTGTCAACTCGAGGTTAAATCTAATTAATTTAATATACATTAATCAAAACTCGGTGATATGACAGATCATACATAGATCGTACTTTTTGCTTTCCCCACGTAAACTCATCAGCAAATTTTTACAAAGAGAATCTAATGTATTATTCTGTATTTCGTTAAGGTAAATAATTTCCTTGATATTTTAAAAGAAAACATCCTTACTAGTTAAGGAAGTTACTGTAAAGAAACCTACTAAATACTATTGGCAGAAAGATTGTTCAATAAGCATTACTAGCATTTTTATTAAAATACAAAGAACTAGTGTTAGTCATTAATTAGAACTTCTAAGGCACTCGAAACCGCATCGTACCATCCGCAATCATAAAACCCAAGTACTTTGGGGAATGTGGCGCACGCCTCGAACGGTTGACGGGGATCTCCTCATTTAGTTATCACCAAAAAAAAAAAAAAAAAAAAAAATACTCAACTAGCCGCGACCCACCGAAACCTCATTCCTGTGGGTGGTGGGTGTTGGGTGGTTGCACCCATCTGGAGAGGAAGACATCACTCGATCGCGGCGTGATCGTCGCGCGATTGTCGTGCGCCATTGACTGACTGATATGGAATGGACCCCTGGTCTGGTCTGGTCTTGGTGTGGTCCCACCCAGATCCCCAATAGTACCCGTACCCTCATCCCCGTACCGAACCCTCGCCAGCAGCACGTGATAAGAGCGGCGCGGCGCTTGGATGGGAGATATTTTTAGCCTATCATTAACCTATCGGCGGAGCACTTTTTATTTATAGACTGAGATTCAATTTAAGTACCATAATGTATAATCATTATCACTTATCGTTTGGTCACTTTCGCTAGGAATCTATAAAACATAGCTAATACCTTTAGATTGTTTTCCGTGACCTTGTGGCTAGCTTTCTTTTATAGATTGTATTTGGTTCTAAGGTAGCATTGAAATTATATAAAACATTAAGTATTAGGTCTTTAAATCTTTGATGACTAATTTGTTGCGACTCTTATCATGTTTCTGAATGTTTTTCTGAACACTTAACTCAAAGTAATCTCACTTGGAAATTTAATTTCTTCAATTTATGGTAAAGTCTCATGAATTTAAAAGCTAAGTAAACAACTTATGTCAGAGGGAGAGCGATTTTATAGAACTTTTAAGGCAAAAATCCATTAATGCTCATTGTTCTATTTGAAAATTAATTGAAATGACGTCAGTATGAAGAAATATTGTTCAGATGTTTATTAGAACTTGCTATATTTTGAAATGATGCATCTGAGAAGAATTTATATGCAAAAACTTCCCTTCAAAGAAGTAAAGAACTATGTATATAACTACTTTAGTTTAGTGACCATTATATGCCATTTTATTTAGCATTTTTTAGGTAGTTTAAATCTAATAATTAGGAACAACACCTCAAACCCTGTCTTTGTACAAGTGTTGGAAATTCTCAGCTCTAAAAAGATATCTTTAATTGAGTTTATCTTCGTACATTCCTTTGCCTGAGATAAATTACTGGAGGCAGAGCCTCTTGAGGTCCGAACACGCCCATTTTATAGCTTTGCAATCGGCTGTGATTTAAACAACAACATAATGTTAAACAAAACCCATTGTTTCCCCCTTGTTCTCCACCTGCCCAGGTAGATACCAAGCACCTTATCGTAGAGCTCAAACTTGACTCTGTACCCAGTAAAAGATTTATCTTATCAAGTTTACAAGCTGTTTTCACTCAGCCAAGTTAGCACAAGTCCACGAATGTTAGCATTATAGTTTAAATGTTATATTAATAGAGCTTCCCGGTTATATCGAGTGCGATTTGAGGAGCACGATTCCGGAATAGTTGATGGTGAAATGTGTAAGGTACAGATCGCTTCCCAGGGAATGGGAATGGGAACGGGAACGCTACCTCTCCCCATTTGGTTATCTTGGCGGGAGTGTAGATTACGCTTAATCATAATTAAGTTAGTATATATAGTATATATTTGCTTTTGATTAGGAAATTAACAAGGTTTCGGTGGGTACACACGCTCCTCTAGCTTCCATCTCCTCCTTTATCACTTATCTCTCGGCTGCTCTCTCTTTTCCATGTACCCCACACAGACCGTAGTACTCGAGGGCAAGTACTGGAAACGTCATTCAGCCGTGATCAAGGCTGAGTACAGAAAATGGCGCAAAAATTATAGATCCAAGGCTACGGGCTGTTTAACCTACGACTCGGTAAGTTACAAATATGTTTCATTCAAATTTGTTAATAGACTTGGTGGTGTTTTCCATTTCCTTGAACTGTACTAATATGACCATGTATGTGAAGATGGCGGTGAAGAGCTGTCAAATGAAAATAGTACAATTATTGACTAATAGTATAGATAGTATATATAGTTTACCTTAAACAAGGTGCTTTTATCCAATGCAAAAAACCCGTAGGCTGTTAGAATGGGCTGCTGTCGTAGGTTTTTCAATAGGAATTTCTCAATCTAATAAACGAAAAGGGGGCGAAAATTATTCATCATTATCATTTATAAATTATTGTGATTTATGATGAATATCTTTATATATGGACAAGCTTACCATTCGATCCAAACCAGTGCCAGTTCTGGGTACTTTGGCCAATATCTTTGCGGTTTTATTTGCCTGCAAAACAAAAGGGATTCGGAACATATATGAAAGTGATTTTATATCTCTTAAAAGCTACACAAGTTGTTTCTTAAACTTAAATCAAATCCCAACATTTCACTCACTTCCACCGTTATGCCATTTGTGCGTAACATGAGTACCAAAATGATTAGCCAGGGTGTATCCCAAGTGGAGGATATTAGGAGCATGCCCAGGTAACCCCTCGAGTCAAACTTGCCCTCCATCACAGTGCTGATGAGATAGAAAGGACCTGATGGTGCCATTAGGAGCACCAGAGCCACAATGGGAAGCATCAGCAGACCGAAGCAGTCGCTCAACTCGCCACCGCACAAGGCCAGGATCTGTGCTCTGCCCCGGAGAGCGACTGCCAGGTCACCCTGGGAAAGCAACCGATTGTAGTGAACCAAACCGGCGGCCATTATCTGCTTGAGGCAGACGAAGAACACCAGCAGCAGGCAGAGAACCAAGAAGCCGTAGATGTAAACAACCAAGCAAAAGGCCAGCGGAATGGTGGCCAAGCCGGCGCGACTATATCCGTTGAAGTAGTTGCCAAAGCAGACCACAGAGAGCACGCCGTACAGGATTAGATTGTGCAGAAACTGGCGATCCATGCTGCTGGTCACACATCGGCGGTTGAGACGCAGGAGGTCTTGCACCAGTTCCCTATGTCTGTGTCGGCGTACATAAAGGATCACGTATAGAAGGAACAGCACCAGGCAGGTGCTCCGGAATATCACGGTCTCATAGAAGTTGCCTGTCCGATTATAGATGGCTATGTGGAACCGCTTCGGGTTCAAGTGGGCAAAGGTAAAGCAGCCTGTGGTTGCAGCCAATACCACGACCAGATACGTCCGTGCATAGCGCTCGGACGAGGGTGTGGCCACCAGTTGGCAATGCTCCGAGTCAAAGTGCCAGCACATCATGCCCAGAAGGTGGAGCAGGCGAAGATACAGATGCAGGTCACGGCACACCACGGACATAATGCTACGGTCGAGGGACCCCTGCGAACTAACCAATCAACCGGATGGGAATCCCATTTCATTGTTGATTCATCGGATAGCGAAAAGTCAATATTTACCACGTAATTGATTGGATTTTGGACGGTGATGTATGAGCTTATTAAATTAGGCTTTAACCTCTGCCACGTTTCACAAATAAAAGGATATTCCTCGAGGGACTTAAAGATTCCCATATTTTATACATGTATAGATCCTATCACATTGGATGATTAATTATAAACTATTAATTCCTAATGATTGTGGTAGGATAAAGCAGACTCGAAGGAACCTATTGTCCTATTACTCACCTCCTGCTGGACATTGGTAGTGCCCATCATCAGCACCAGCAAAGTCACCCATGGCACACTCCAAAAGCTGGCCGTTAAGGACATGAAAACGAAACGCCATGCCTGACGAAAGCGGCCTTCGAAGATGGTGGACACCAGAAAGAAGGGTCCCGAGGGGGTTATGAGGAGTGCAAACCCGGTTATTGGTAGCAACAGTAGGCCAAAACATTGATTTATCTCCTCATGGCTTAGCCACAGCAACTGGTTATAATCGCGAAAGTTTTCATACAATTTCCCGCTCTCCATTCCGCCTAACTTGAGATTATTCAGCAGCGTCCTGTTGTAGTGTCTCAGAGTTGAGAGCAGGATGCGCTGGAAGCAGGCAAAAAGGACGACCAGTTGGCCCAGGATGAGGTACGAGAAACCGTATTGAAGAAGATAAATGGGAATGGTGATCCAGGAGACCCCAGCCACCCAGTAGCCATGGGCATAGTTAAGCATGCAGATCACAAAGAGAACCAAATGCAGAATGTAGGGGAAGCCGAAGCTGGATATTCCATTATCATTTATACAGATTTGATTGAGGTTCATCATCGATTGTAGCAGTTTGGCAAAGCGACAACGTCGAGCATAGAGCTGAATATACACCAGGAGAGTGGTCAGGGCACAGGACCGGAAGTTGATCAAGGCATAACAGTTTCCCGTGTTGTTATGCTTGCCCATAATAAAGTGTTCCGGATACCAGCAGCTATAAATAATCAGACTGCAGCTAAATACTGTGACACCCGCCAGGAACCAGCGGGTTCGACGCTGCTCGGAGGCTTCTATTCGCACCAAACACTTGTCAAAATCTATGTCGAACCGCAGGACTCCAAGACACTGAAGGGTTCGTAGGTGAACCCGCAATTCCCCGAAACCGGTGCGCGGCATGGCTTCTGCTTCAATCAACTAATCACTTAATGTCGCAGGACACGCTTTTAGTTACTTTAGTTTGTAAACATGGTATCTGCCCGATGACACTTCTCGAGGGAAACACTGCTCAAAACTAAGTCAACGCCTCAATATTTACCCCCATTAGATAATGAACATTGAACAGGGGGCTCACCTCTTTTCCCACCTCATCGGTGCGCAGGGTCGTCAGGATGGCCACCAGATAGGGCAGGTTCCAGAGGAGTGTGACGAACAGGGCATGCCACAGATACTCCATGCCCACGTTGCGGGCATCGAGCTCAAAAACGATGGTTATCATGAAGAATGGAGCAGCTGGTGTGAAAAGAGCAGGAAAGCCATTATTACCAGCAACACCAGTCCAAAGTCAGAGTTAATTCTCTGTATGCAAACCCAGAGCAAACGACTTCGCTGTCGCAGGCGGAGGCAGCATGGGCTCCCTGACAAGACACAGTCCTCCCGAATCGCCGCTGCTAGGTCTTCATTGTAGATCCTCAATAAGCTGGCCAAGATCCGGACCAGACAGTAGTGTAAAGCAACTACCAGGCTAAGCAGCACATAGCTATAGGTGGCAAAGGTGGTCAGCAAGGCCGCTCTCCACCACTCGAGCCCGGCGTGCCGAAAGACCTTTCCCTGCAGCAATCCGGAGAGCAGGACCTGGCTGGCGAATAAGGCATAAATCCGGACAAACTCTGTGGCATGCCTGTCACCTAGATCTATGCGGCTGTGATGCAGGAGCAAGGCGATCAGCGACATTAATCTCCGCGCCTCACATAAAAGTACAAATGGATGAGGGACACCGTCAGGCAGGCCAGTCCATAATTGCCCAAGAAATATGTGTTGCCCGTTTCTCCGTACACCGGTAACTTGTACTCTCCGGACCGGAACATCACATGACCCAGGGCTCCCAGTGATAGGCACTGCCAGAAGAGCAGTCCCACCAATGCAATAGTGTCATCCGTCCTGGATGCGTGGGTTTTGTAACCACTACTGGACTCATGCGTGAAGCATAGCAAACCGAAGCACTTGAAAGTTAATAAATAAACGCGCAGCTCGCCACCGAGGGACATGGCGCCATACCGCGAACTGAAAGAACTGGAGTTCCATTTGGTTGCTTCTTGGTCCCCAGTCTATATTCAATAATTATCTAGATTGACAAAGGAGAAACGACCACAATACCTTCAAAATAGCTTATTTTTATAGGGGGGAATAGGAGACCAAAAGGTGACGAAGTCTAGAGTTTGTAAGGAAAACTAAAACGTAGTTTAATGATGTTATAGACAGTCAAGGGAATCTTTCTAGGAATAGGAATATAGAAAGTTTGGGGAAATAAAAGAAAGATACGTCTTTAGGTAAAGCTTCTTTGCCTAATAATGAGACATACCTGAACGGCCACGCGGTTGCTCATGAAAGCGGCGGCACAGGTCATCAAAGTGGGTGAGAGCCACACAATGTTTGTCAGCAGCTTTAGGCCAATTGGCTTATTATTTTGAATCACCATGGTCAAGTAGATCACTCCGGTGACATCCAACGAGGCAAACATCCAGGATAGCCAGGCGATGAATCCATAAACGAGGCTAATCTCCACATTGCAGAGAAGCACCAAGCGATCGTGCAGCTCCAGGCAGCCGCGCATGCGTAGAAGATTGGCGCTGACTTGCTTGGGATCCCCGGAATGCTCAAGAATGGCCGTGATCTGGGACTGATTCCAGCTCAGGACGAGGCGCACAATGTGCACCATGCAGAAATAGGTGCCCATGGTGAAGCTGGTGACCAAATAGCGCAGTGGAAACCCCAGCGAGGTGACCACAAAGAGACGCGATGCTTCCGATAGCCACTCAAACACACAGGTCTTGATGAAATTGGCCATGTAGAGGAGATTTGTTCCAATTATAAGCCAGAGCAGACGTTTGGGCAGCACCAGCCGGAGGTGGCCCAATTGCTTTCGGCGACACAGCTCTATTTGCCTAACGATACGCAAATGAGGAGCCTGTAGCCAGATGAGCCAGGCATTCTGCACCACAAGTATACCCAGAGCCAGAACCATTACCAATCTGTCGAAGTGGTTGCCAGTTTTGGTTAGTTCCCTCTTGAAGCATTGGCGCCAGTAGATGACCAGGACGGCCATGCATCCGACCAAGTAGGCCTGAATGGCAAAGTGCACAACATAGCAGATGGCACTGCGACGCAAATGAAACTTTTTCTTAGAGGGATTGTAGTCGATGCAGAATATGCCCAAGTATCGACAGAGGCGGTAATAGGCGCAGAGTTCCCCAGACTGGAATTCGTCCATGGTTAATGGAGACTAGAACCGGAATGAATCAGTGCTTTTGCCAGTCGAACTGGTCTTTTATACCCTGTGCTTTTGACCTTTCAGAAACGGAAGGAAAGGCTACTCTTAGTCCAAAGAGTCCATCTGTTATAATAAATGCATATCTCAGAGCCTTTAACAACCTTATTTGTCTTGTAAAACCCAATCCTTAACACTTCTTATAGGGTATAAGATAGTTGGAGAGTATTTCTATCCACAGAATTGTTTTCATAACAAAGTCAGTCAAGTGTTACTGCCCGCCACTCACCTGATTAAGTACGTCATTGGCGGCTAGGGGAAGGATGAGATAGAAGAGCATCGGGGACAGCCATGCGAGGATAAAAACTAACTCCTTGAAGGATCCAAAGTTCGCCAAGCTGCTAATGTAGAAGATCAGAACGCACTGCATGACCTGGTACAGGAAGAGAAAGAGCAGGACTCCACCGTAGACCTCGACCACTTCCCTCTGGCCCAGCAGCAGGATCTCATCGTGGACTTGCAGGTTGTGAGCCAGATCCTCCCTCGAGATGGTCTCGAACATCATTCCTCTTAGTTGCTCGGCCTGGACACGCAGCAATGTGGCCAAAATCCACACCACACCGCTGTAGCAGGTGATTTGGAAATTTGCCAAGACACAGCGGAAGGCAAATCCCAGCAGAGTCACCACGCGGCTAAGCTCCATATTTGTCAGCCAAGTTTTGGAGGCAAAATGTGACACCATGAACGCATAGAAGAGGCAAACAAGCAGCCAGATGCGATAGAACCAGCGTGGATGAGGCAGTGCCTCCGTCTCCACCTGCAAATGGTTCACCAGCTGAGAGAGTCTATGCAGGAGGGCCACCTGTGACTTTTGCCGGGCACGGAACCACAGATTGGCCAGCAGTTGGGACACGGAAGTGGCTATTATGACTGCATTGTCGAATATCCTTCCGGTCTGAGTCTGAGTGTCCAAATAGAAGAGGGACTCGGCCAGAGCAGCCACCAAAGCAAACGAGAAGATGCTCACGACTATGACCTGGGTGCCATAAGAGAGCCAGGTTCCATGGAGCCCGTACACTTCCCTAGCATTGGAGAAATCCAAGTCAGTGAGGCCCAAGTAGCGTTGATAGTGCAGGAAACCTAGAAGTCTCTTCTGATTCATTCTCACTATATACGTGCTTTAGGCTATATTACACTCGAGTAACTGACTCATCGAATGAGTTGAATTCAATTAAACTAATTGTGGGTTAGTGTTCTGTAACTCTATCTATCGTTCAATGAGGATTGCCAAGCCTGGCGGCAGGTCCTCATAATCGCACAAAACTTATCAGTATTACGAAACACATATGGAAAGGGTCAAATGATATACAGATAAGGAACTCAATATACTGACAGTACTGAATGTATGTATACAATTCCAAATAAATAGTTAAATCTTTGAATTTACTCACCTCCACTCTTGGGTTATTAAAAACAAATGGTATCGAAGCGTAAAAGCAACAGCAAGTTAACCAGAATAAACACATTATAACCGGAAAGTGCTGATCAAACTTAAACCAAGCGAAATAGCAAATCAATGTTGCTTCCAAAATGTCCTGAATAAGGTACAAACAGAGTAGTAATCCGAATATTTTACTCAAGTCCAGTTCGCACATCAGTAGCATCTCATTTTGGATCGATAAATTATGATAAATCGTTTCCCTTTGAATCGTTGTGTCAGAAATTCTTTGTGAAACATTTTGTATTTGCTGGAGACTAGCGGCCATAATGTGCACTGTGCGATGGCGTAGGGCCATATAAAAGATTTTCACAAAGCAGGATGACACCTTGTAAAGCAGATAAACGATTTCCTTGATTACAAAATTAAAGTTTATACTGGACATCAAAATGGTTTGTACATAAATAAAGCGTAGGACAAGAAGGACGCTGTACACTAGCCAGGCCAAAATCATCCAAGATGGCACTTCTGAAAATCCAAAATCATTGGAGAGTTCTAGGACTCGGATGAGGTTGCTCTTCAGACTTTGCTGCATTAAAAACACCAAAAGGTATTGAAATATAAGGAAAGTGGCCTCTGGCAACCGAACAGTCTTCAATAAGAACATATCCGTGGAACCATGGAAGATTGAAAATTCCAAATTCCGCTTAAGGGAAAACATGCAAAGGCAACAGAGAACCATCAGCGTTATCAAAAACTGGATAAAAGAACATAATCCTTTAAACTTCGAGGCGAACTGCTTTGGCTTTTCATCATTCCACCGAATTTTCACAAGTGTTATGCTCCAAAGGATCACTACAAGACCCGCTAATGTTGTCCGCATTGCGAAGCCGTCGTTTTAAAACTGTGTTTTAATGTCATAAGGAAGGAATAACCGAAAGGAACAGCAGCGATGATGGAAGGAAACCCATTAGAGATTGAGCGACAGCCTGGCTGATTGCACCTGAAGGACATTATGCAATTAACTTGGCTACACTTGGAGAAAAATACTCCAAAACAGACAAGAAACTATTTAAAGTTCTTTGCAAATTTAGCAGGAAAAACTATAATGCATTTTATTCGCTTTTTAGTAAGGACTTTCATTAATTATAATAAAAATCGCACCTCTACTTACCTCTATACATGGGTTATTGTATCCCAACGGTGTCCAAGCGTAAAATAATGATATGATAAGCGAAACTAAGAAAACTGAACTGTCGAAATCAAACTTGGGTGAGTTCCAAAGGAAGTAAGTCATGAGTGTGGATTCCAAAATATCCTGAATCATGTACAGGCACAGCAGTAGTCCATAAAAATCACTAAAGTCCAGTTCACACAGCTCTAATATCTCATTTTGTATATTTAAATGACGACTCACAAGTAGTCTTGCATTTAAGGCTTTAGGAGTTCTTAATACATTTTCCATTTTTCGGCGACTAGCGTTCATAATATTGATTATTCGATGGCCAAGAACCATATACAATGTTTTTATAAAGGTTGTCGAAACTTTATAGAAATTGTGTGTTAGATCTCTAACCAGCTCGTTAAAGCTCATTGGTAAAGGCGAATAACATCTCCAATATATGAAACGAATTGAAAAAAATCCACTGCAGAATATAAAACTGAAAATCATCCAAGATGGAACGTCTGAAAGTCCAAAATAGTTTGAGAGTTTTTGGACTCGAACCAATGTCTTGAGTAAAGTTTGTTGCATTGAAATTATCCAGATGACTTGCAGTATCAAAGAAGTTGATTCCACCAATCGAATGAGCGTCACATAGTAAACATCCGTGTTACTATGAAATATGGAAAATTCCTTTATAAATTCGGAATAAGCGGCATAGAGACTCCAGAAAAAGAAAAACTCCAAAGAAAACGGGAAAATCCAAAAGATCCGGCTGCATCTTATGACGAACTCCTTCAGCTGATCGTCCCAGCGGATGTTTGTGAAAACCAAGAACCGAAGGATCACGGCCAAACTGGAAAGCTTTATCCTCATTGTAAAGCATGCGACTGAAAACTGTTTAGTCAAATTGCATTTTTCCTATAGATACCGAAAATAGAATCCATTAGGAATTGAGCGACAGCTTGGCTGATAAATCGGTATTACCATTTAGCAATTAAGTGCTTAACCGATGCACTTGGGAAAACCTCAAGAAACACGTATAAATATCCAATAAGTTATACAAATTGTACATCTCTTACTTATTTTAACTTATTTATGAGAATATTGAATAGAGATTTACCTACCTTCTCTGTGTAATTACTGATTCCCAGATGTATCCAAGTATAGAAGCAATTGATGATGAGCAAAATGCAATATAAGACATGTTCCATTATATAGGATTTCCGAGTACAAATATAAAATGACAATAGGATTACTTCCATGGTATCATGCACCATGTAAAAGTAAAGAAGGAATCCGAAAATCGAACTCAAGCAGTGTTCGCCAAGAGAAAGGATATCGTTGTGAATCCTCACATGGTGGCTAACCATTTTTCTCATCGTTTTTATGTCACGGGTTTGCAAAACGCTCTCCAGACTATTGCCACTTTCGGACAAGATGTGCTCCAGGCAGTGTCGTAGATACATGTACAGGGTTTTCACAAAATATGAGGATATTTTGTAAAACACGAAAGAACTCTGACTCGAGAAACTAAATAGATTCGTTTGAAAGTGTGTCCTCCACACAATGAAGCGCAGGATGAAAGACAGGCAGGCTGTCATCCAGCAATAGATCATCCATTGAGGTATGATCGGTATCCCAGAGGTCTGCTCGGAGAGAGTCTGTATCTGCATAAAGTGTTTGACCTGGGATCCCTGCGTCGAAAACATCCAAATTAATTGGAGGGCGACTAAAACGAACTCCGTCATCTTGACAATGTATAAACAGTACTTGGACAGGAAGGTATTGAAGGCCTCAAACTCAATATCCCAATTAATAACGAGATGAAAGATGTTCCACAGACTCAGGCTCAGCAGGAAGATCTGCATCAGACAAAAGCACCAGCTGTGATTCAAGCTAAACAGCTTCAATCGCTTGTCCCAACGGATATTTGTGAGCACTAGTATCCGAAGGATACGGACCAGGTCGGAAAGGGTTAACTGCATTGCGCTGCAACGAACTTGAGACTAAAAAGGGCACTCCCGAAGCTTAATCATTTCGAGTGATTATCACTCATTTATAAATTAATTATCGATTTTCAGTAGTTGACTTACCACATTCTGAAGTCTGTGGTTCCTAACGGTCGGCAAGGCAGCATATATCACCAAGGGAACTATTATAATCAGACACATTCCGATAATAAAAACATTGTCAAACTTGAGGGCAATGATGTAGCTTATAGATGCCGTCTCCAGGACAATGTACAGAAAGTGCAGGCCCAATGGAACACTGAAGATGACGCTCATCTGCAGCTCACAGATCCGAGAGATATTATCTATAAGCTGCAGCCGATGGACGAGCTCATTTGGATCTCGATTACGTACAGATTTCTCCACTCTGCGGAGTTGTGCCTCTAAATTCGCTTCGATTTGATCAACAGTCACCAGAAAAAGGTTAACCAAGCAACTGAAGTAAATCTGTCTCAGGAGAAAGGTGATTGCCGGCCCCAAGTATTGGATATCGAGTACACCTTGCGTTACCATATAAAAAGTGGTAAAAAAGAATAATGCAATATTTGAGCTTAGAAACATGAAGGATATCCATTTGGACGTTGTTGTCTCCCCTTGATGCTCAGTTTCCAGCAGCTGTAGGAGCTGCTTTAATAGCTGCAGCAGACGATCCTGGTGCAGACGAAGCCAGGCAATCAGTATGAGGATGGACAGCGGCTCCATGAGTCCGGTTACATGTGCATAGTGATTCGCCATGCCAGTGTGTGTGATCTCGAATCTAAAGTTCCAGAACTTAATGTAACATCCAGCGGCTAGCAGCAGAGCTCCCTGGAGTGTCCAAAATAGAATGTGGGTGCACCTGGTGGCTGGGCACAGTTGGAGGCCACCCGCGCTGAGTTCGATAGCCGTGATTCCCAAACGACGCTGGCACACCAGGACGTCGTGCAACGCGGACAGCATGACCGAGCCGACTGACTGACTAACTGACAGCCGCTAATAAATTTATGTTTCCAGCGCTTTGCTATCTCTCCTCCAACATCAAGAGTGATAACCCGTCACATTTATTACTTTTCTTTTTGGTTGCAGAAAAGCGAGTTGGACTTTTTGGAATGGTCGCCGCTGAACGATAGGAACTTGATGCCAGACGACTGGACAACGGACACCTTGTTCTCGGCCATAAATGTTCCATTTCCTTTCCCCGATTCCAGGGAAATTGGTAAGTTTTGATCCTACTCAAGTCCAGCTGCCGTAACTGATGCTTTCCTCCCATTATTAGCACGCGGTGCAGGTATCGCTGACTTCATACAGCCCAGTTTGGGTCCCTTGCAACCGAATTTAGATGACATCGACCTGACCTTCTCAGGTGAGTAGTATCAGTATTAGCTATCCAAGGATTTTAATAACTAGCTTCCCCCGATCCCCACACAGACCTGATACCAACCACACGCTTGCCACCCGTTCCGGAGGAGGGAACCGATGCCGAAATGCTCAAGAACGACGATTACTGCTTGCCGGCAATCGTGGGCGCTCCCCATACACTCTACTGCAACGACAGCATCATGGACATGGTCAACAGCAGCAGCGGCGGTGGCGGTGGTGGCGGCAACGTCGATGCCAACATGATGGAGCTCAACACGCCGATCAATAACATGGCGTACAGTGAAATGGAGCAGCGCTTCTCTGTGGCGCGACAGCAGGTGCAGCAACAGCAGCAGCAGCAATCTGTTAACGATTCCCAGCTCATTGGAGATCCCAGCTCAATGTCCGGTCGGATGCACGGAGGCAAGCACTTTGGAGCCATAAACGCCACCGAAAACAGCAGCAGCAACCGGTGCGTGATCAACGGTCGTGTGGCCAAGAGTACTCAGCGTCCTTTCCGTCGTGAGCCGCACAACTACGACAAGGCCCAGCCGACGCTGCATCAGACGAACCTCTACCAGCAAATGCTGGCCGAGCAGCAGAAGAACCAACAACAGCAGCAGCAACATCTTGGCGGAGGCGTACTTTTGCAGGCGGGTTCCTTTCAGGCTTCGCAGCAACAGCAGCAGCAGCAACTTGCACAGCAGCAGCAGACGCAGCAGCACTTTCCCACGCAGCAGACGAACGCCTTCAACAACCAGCAGGGTTTCCTAGGCAGCTACACGGACAGCTACCAGCAGCAGCAGCAGCATCAACAGCAGCTCAATGTGAAAGTGGAACCTTTGCAAACTGATGTGCTCTCCCTACTGAGCGATGGTGGCTACAACTCCATCGGCTACAAGCCCTATCCGCAGTTTAAGAAGTCCGCCTCGACTGGAACCTTTCTCAATGTGCCCCGCCTGCCGCAACAGCAACAGCAGCAGCAGCAGCAGGGTTACCTGCAACAGGAGCAACCGCAGCCTCAGATGCAACAGTCGCTTCCGCTGGGTTTGACTACCCAGCAGCTTCTGCAGCTGACACGCCAGCAGCAGGCAGCCAACACCCAGCAACAGCAGCAGCAGCACCAAACAACAGTGGCCAGTTTGCTGCAGCAGCACCAACAACAGCAGCAGCAGCAGGCCGCTGTTAGCACAGCCACTTGGGTGTCTCCCAACACCGTTTTGCCCAAAGAAATCCATCGGTCCAACAGCTTGCCCCTGAACGTGTCGCTTAACAAGCTGCCCGATGGCCGGCAGCAACTCATCCACGAGCAGCCATTCGCCGTGCCCAAGTACCATGCCAAGGGCAAGTCCCGCGTGCGAAGCAACTCGATGCACCAACAGCACTCGTCGGTGGTAGCGGCCGCCGGTGCCGGTGGCTCTCCGTTGAGCGCTCAGAGCTGCAGCAACCTCCTGGTCACACAGCAGATGCAGCAGGCCACCAGCGATCCCATGCTGAACAGCACCCTGGCCCAGCTCCTGACTTCGAGTGAGTGTGCTTAGCGACCGAGAGATCCGAGGAATTCGGTTGCCAAAGTATTTATCGTTTCAGATTCCCGCCTGCAGACGGCAGTGGCCAACAGCTCGCAGTCAAATCCGCAATCTTCCGCCAGTGCCATAGCCGCCTCCAGCAACAGCAACGTGTCGCCGGCGCTTTACGCTGCGGTCACATCACCGCTGTCGGTGCCGGTGTCGGCTCAGCCGACGCAGTCACACTCACCAAAGAAGTCCGCCTCATTGCCCATGGCCATTATCAGTCCAGCACTGCACAGTCCTCCCGGACACAATTTTGGTCCTTCTGCTTCCACGGCGGCCAACATTGGCAGTAGTAGCTGTCTGAGTCTATCACCGGACTCACCGTTCCACGAGTCGCAGGATTCACCGCTCTCGCCCTCGACCAGCCTCAACAAGTACCAGCCGAGGGACACCCAGCGACGTGCCGGTCACATTCATGCAGAGCAAAAGCGACGCTACAACATCAAGAACGGCTTCGACACGCTGCATGCGCTCATCCCGCAGCTCCAACAGAACCCAAACGCCAAGCTGAGCAAGGCGGCCATGCTGCAGAAGGAGCGGACCACATTAAACAGCTGCGACAGGAGCGCAATGTGCTCAAAGACAAGATTGAGTCGTTGCGTATGGAGCGGGACGAGCTAAACAACTCTCTAACGTAAGCTATATCTTTGATTCTATTAGTTTTCTTTATCAGTAATGCATATCTGCTCTTCCCAACAGGCATCTGCACTCCATTCTGCCGGCAAATGGAGCGCCAGTCACGAGGCAGGGTACGGAGCACGTTCGTCAGCTGTACGAGATCTTTGTGCGGTACAATACCATGAACGACTGGAAGTTTTGGATTGTAAGTACTATTATGTCGAATCGCGTTGTTATAAGACCTTTGCATTAAGTGTTTCCTTGAGAAAGGGAGAAATCGTTTGGATATTCTATTCGTTCAGTAAAAAACTTTAAAATCCGATTTAAAATTTCAGTTGGGCTTAATTTTGGAACCACTTCTTGCCTCCTACACGTCGACCGTGTCAAGTGCCAGTCTGGATGAGCTGCGTCGGACGGCCTTCCTTTGGGTCGATCAGCACTGTTCTCTCATCGATCTGCGACCCGGTAAGTAGCTATTTCACGATTTTCCTTCCTCAATTTAATTAAATCTTTTCGTTTCAGCTGTTACGAATAAATTAAAGTACCTATCCATGCACACGGATATTGTGTCAGAGCCGCCTAGCACTTTGCAGGAGGAGGTGGCCAAGGCCCTTCAAAACTCAAGTGGCCAGCATCCGAACCTGCATAGCTCCTAACTGTTGATGATGCTGATGCTGCCCGTGATATGAATTTATTTAATTCAATCTATATATATATTTTAAAAATATATCCACATGAATTTGTTTCGGCTTATAAATTGTACAAATCGCTAAATAAGGCGGATTTTTATACGAGAAGAATGGATTGGCAGCCGGCAATAGATATAGAAAAATACGCAGAGCAGCAAATAGTGCCTACAATCTTTGACTTTAAGCGTAAAATAAAAGTAAACGATTTTACAAGTTTTTGACCATAGCTGCGAATATTTTTTGAGCGTTTATCATTCTCATTTTCAGGATTTTAAGTTGTTTTTTACATTATAATTATCTTATTTTATATCAAAGATTGAAAACTGTTTTAAAATATTATAAATAAATTCTTTCCACTTTCAAATCACTCACTACAGACCACCTTCGAGACTTTTGTAGGGTTTTTGATATATGTATATGTAATCTACTGATGATAAAGAGATACCATATCAATGCAATTGTCATTTAACGTAGTCCGAGAATATCACAGTTGTAGTTGCGGCGTACACCTTGCTGGGTCATGATCATCATAATATTCCTGATTATTGCAGCTGGTGCTGCCTTGGTTATTGTGGCTGCGACTGCTGTGACCGCTGCCTGTGGTCTCCTTGTGCTTCTACCATTCCTGATCTGTGGCGGCTGGCTGGTGATCTGGGCCTTCATGTGGTTCTGGCAACGTTATGGTGTCTGGTGTTGGCTATTCGGGACGAGATGTGCTGAGGAACATATATTGCCGACAAACTTTGACCTTACCCAAGGGTAAACTGAATAAAGAAGAGTTTGTAAATTATTGGCCATAAGCTTTGTATGTTTTGTTAATGCAAAAATACTTCTTTAACTATTAAGAACCTTGATAATCTGCTTAATTATTTTAAATCGCCCCAAAAGTATGTTAAATTCGTCGCCTTAAAACACGGTTCCTAAGAGAAGACTTGTAAGTGAACCTTATTTCGCGATACTTACAAGAGAATGACGACAGAGAGCATTTTTCATTTCACTCACTTGCACTTGCATTTGTAAAGATTGTGTCGGATAGATAGCTTTTCGCTATCAATTGAGCCTCAGTGCATAAAAGACCCGGAAAACCGACTGCAGTTTCGGTCTGACTCTCCTAGACGCGTTGTCATGATTATCATCGTACTTCTGATTATTTTTGCGGTTGCTGCCGCCTTTGGATTGGTATTCCTTCTCCCATTGACACTCAGCGCTGCCTGGATACTTCTGCTGTTAATCGCTTGGCTTTGGCAACGGCACCACTTTCGCCACTGGCGACGCCTGGCTGTTCCCTATATTCCGGCCACACCCTTTGTGGGCAACGTGTGGCAACTATTGCGCGGCGCTTGTTGTTTTGGCGATCAGTTCCGAACGCTCTACGAGAGCCCGGAGGCTGCTGGCCACGCCTATGTGGGAATTCACGTCCTGCACAACCATGCTGTGCTCCTACGAGACCCAGCATTGATTAAGCGCATCATGGTGGAGGATTTTGCCCAATTCTCCAGCCGCTTTGAGACCACAGATCCCGTGTGCGACACCATGGGTTCCCAGAATTTGTTCTTCTCCAAGCACGAGACCTGGCGAGAGACGCACAAAATCTTTGCCCCATTCTTTGCGGTAGGAAAGGTGCGTCAGATGTATGGACTTCTGGAGCGCATTGGCCTCCAGCTCGAGGAGCACATGGAGTTGCAACTAGCGGGAAGGGACAGTATGGAGCTTGAGGTTAAGCAGTTGTGTGCCCTCTTCACCACGGATATCATTGCCTCGTTGGCCTTCGGTCTGGAGGCTCATAGCCTGCAAAATCCGGAGGCTGAGTTCCGTCGCATGTGCGTCGAGGTGAATGATCCGCGTCCGAAGCGCCTGCTGCATCTCTTCACAATGTTCTTCTTCCCCCGACTATCCGGCCGAGTTCGCACGCATCTCTACTCCGAGGAGTACGAACGCTTCATGCGCAAGTCCATGGACTTTGTCCTGGCCCAGCGCGAGGCCAGTGGCGAAAAGCGTCACGATTTGATAGATATATTCCTCCAGCTGAAGCGTACAGAGCCACCGAATAGCATAGTCCATCGTCCGGATTTCTTTGTGGCCCAGGCAGCGTTCCTCCTGTTAGCTGGCTTCGATACCTCGTCGTCTACCATAACCTTTGCCCTATACGAACTGGCCAAAAATCCGGCGATTCAGAGCCGATTGCGGAAGGAACTTCATGAGGCTCTGAATGCCAGCAGGAATGAGGGTCAGCAGCTGAACTGCGACAATGTTAACGGCTTGGTTTACCTGCGACAGGTGGTGGACGAGGTCCTGAGATTATATCCCCCTACAGCATTTTTAGATCGATGCTGTAATTCTATCAATGGCTACGACCTCTCGTCCTGGAACTCTGGCTCCAAAATGAAATTGCAAGCAGGAACACCAGTCTATATATCAGTATTGGGTCTTCATCGGGATGCGCAGGTTAGTCTCACTCACTCCATATCGGTAGCTTTATCATCTATCTAACTATTTTTACATTTCAGTACTGGCCAAACCCGGATCGCTTCGATCCAGAACGCTTTGCAGCCGAGCAGCGTCAACAACATCATCCCATGACATATCTGCCATTTGGTGCCGGTCCAAGGGGTTGCATTGGAACACTCTTGGGTCAATTGGAGATCAAGGTTGGTCTCCTGCACATCCTGAAGAACTTCCGAGTTGAGATCTGCGACAGAACGCTGCCCCAAATGAGATTCGATCCCAAGGCGTTCGTCCTCACGGCTCATGGCGGCACCTATCTTCGATTTATAAGGGATTGTCTGTAAATGATATAAACATTGTAGTCTAGTTTTAACTGTATTCTTCTTTGTTTATTGGTAATTTGCATTTTTCACATATTTTTTATTTGTTTTTCTGTATTTTGTAATTAAAACTTTTCTCAAGTTCAGCTCAAAAATGTTCACAAAAGTTTTGTCGGCTGAGTCGGCCAACTGTTGTTTTGATTTTATAGTATAGTTTGGTAAAGGGTCTATAGAGTTTAACAAGTTCTAAATATTTAATCAACTCTTGTCAATCAGCCAGAGATTAAAGGGTTCACGACTAAAAAAATGGGTTATCTTTTTAGTTAGGTTCGTTTGTTGAAGCTCCAACAACATTTGGCCAACTCCAAATATTCGACAATTATCAACCATTTGGATTTTATTTTTATTTTTTGTTTGTTTTTCTTCTTTTGCATGTACAGTTTTAAAAACTAACCTGGAGTTTTTCGGTTCTCCGTCGCTCTTTTTACAAATTATCAAAAAATAACTAAAGCAATTTTACACAGACATTATCAACGTAAACTATAGCTAATAACTAATTGCAATTTCTTGTTTTTCATACGTCCAACAACACGTTTCTTGATTTTTCAGTGCTGGTTTGGTTTGCATTTCTATATCATACAAAATAATAAACTCAGATTTCTTGTTTTGTTTTCCTTTTTGTTTTTACATACATCAAACGTTGAAACTTATAGTGATTTGCATTATTGATTTACGAAAGTTTTAAAAGGCTAACTACGAGCTAAGAATACAAGTTAGCAATGTACAACAATGGATGAGGCAAAAAATAAAATAAAATAATTGGACCTTATTACAACAACATGTGTAACGACATACGCATTTTCTTGCACTTTCTTTTCGTTATGCATCTTGTTATTTCAAGGTCTTTCATGAGAGCATGTGTGTATTGAAAGCAAAATGCCATTTTCGGTGTGAATTTGATAAATGAGAAAATTAATGATCTTTCGATTTTGACTGATAATTCGATGATTACAACTTTTGCTTATGATTTCGAAGCATTTCTGTATTGTGTGTATGGCATGTAACTCGTATTTTGCATTTTGTTTTGATTATTTTCTTGGAATATATGATAGCGAAAATCAAATGGCTTGCAAATGTAAATTTAAATTGATTTCTCATCTACTTGTTTTCTTTGCGATTAAATTTTGCATGCACGTAGTTAATTTCTTAATAAGTTTTTTTTTTTTGGTTTTCCTAATTCCACGAGCACAACACATTGGCCGAAAAGAAGCCTCCACTTGGAGGACGACTGCTGCCTGTTAACATATCTATGTGACATACAAATGTTTATGCATATTGGTATATATAAGCATATATAGCTAGTTAATTACATTCATAGTAGTGTAGTTTTCGACATGACATACATTTATATATATATATGTATATATACTCATATATAGCGCTTTCGCATTATCTCACTTTTGTTGTTAGCAAATAAATGTGTTTTTCGCATAATTCTAAACTATTTCCGATTTCTGCTCCTGTTACTTGCTCGCTCAGAGTTAGTCTTCTAATACATTTTACAAACACAGTTGGGGGACGCTACTATCTCCTGTCCTGCATGACCACCTGCTTCAGGGCACCCGCTCTCACGCTGGATTTGACCTCGTGTCCGCCCAATGAGGCGGTGCCATCCCGAGCGATATATAGCTGGAGGCCAGAGGCTGCAACAGAAGTAATAAGAGATTAGTTTAGACCTAGAATGCTGTAGTGTTTTACTACACTCACTTTCTGCCGACTCCTCTAGCTGATCCAGCTTGGTATCCTTTAGAATCTCATCGATTAACGAATTGGGATTGACCCGCGTCTCCTCCACTCGATCCGAAACGCGGGGTCCATCATCCAGTGCACCCTTCTTGCGCTTCTCGCCACTGCTTTTCGTGCGATCTAGAGATCCTGTTTCACTTATAACTAACGAGCCGGAACTGGGATTCCTGTTGTGGTAGCGAAAAGTAAAACGAAAAGGAGTTAGTCGGTGGTATCTTAAAATACATATTCTTAATTGCTCAACTAAAACTATACAAGTGCTCTGAATGAATACAACAATCTGGCGGGCGGGGTAAAACAAGAAACAACGGAAAGGCAGGCATCAACGAGGCAGAACAATGCAAACTTCAGTGCCTTAAAATACGAATATGGAATGGAATATGGAAGTGCTGCTGATGTACAAGGAGTAATGATGCTTGATCAACAAATAAAGAATATAAATTCAAAGACGTACGAAAACTCCGGATAAAATGTAAGGAAACTAAAGCTTTCCAATTAAAAATTCAGGTCGGAGTTGAGGTAAATAAAACAAACAACCAAATAAATCAAATTTATTTTCCACGCTTACACAGTTAAAGCAAACGAAATAACAAGATGCATAACAGCCATAGATTTAAAGTCACACTCCCAGAATTAGACTGTATAAAATCGTAAGGCGTTTACACATCTTATTAAATGGTATTACGTTAAGAATACTTAAAGATAGATGAAGGCGTTAAGTGGTCAATATTTAATTAATAAATTAAAATTGAAGACTACCAAACTTATAATTAGGGATGGCCCTGGCTAAGGCACAGCTCATCCTCCTTTCTAATTACATGGATGAGTTTTGATGAGCTAGTTATTGGACAAACTAAAGGGTCATCATCAGCATCACATCAACTTAAAAGCAATTACAATACGCAGGTGAAAAAAAGTAAAGTAAAGTAGAGACAACATGGGGCAATCTTGCAATTCAACCCACATCATGGTGACGCTGGGGCGGCGTATAATCTGGGTTGTGGCCAGCGGAGATAGTGTGGCTCCCGTCACAGCCATTGCGGATGCCTCGGCGGCTGCTGCCGAGGTGGAGAGAAGTAGCGAGGCGGCCGATGGATTGGAGCGAATGCTGCAGGCATCCGTGGGACTGGCGGCCAGTGAGCTGAGGGCATCGCCAGAGGCAACATTGCCCATCCGAGGACTGTTGCCATGGTGGCCATTGGGCGAGCCCACTGTCATCTGCTGAGTGCTGGGGCCATCCACCGCATCCTGACCACTCGTGGCGGTGTTGCACTGGAAGGTGATGACTGCTCCGCTGCTGCTGCTGTTGCTGCCATTCGAGGAGGATGCCGAGTGATTCGAATGGATGCTGGCCAGGGTCCCACAGGGCGAGCAATTGGCATTGGATGAACCCAAGGCGTAGCCAGACGAAGGGTTTACGGATCCCTGCTGTCCCCTGTTGCCGCCGCCGCCGCCGCCGCTGCTGCTGCTGCTGACAGCTCCCATGTTGCCCGGGTTCTGGCCATTGCTGCTGCTGCTCCCATTGCTTCCGTCAAAGAGGCGACGGGGAACTCCACTGAAGCTTCTGCATGGACGCGTCGTTGAGGGCGAATATTTTGTATTTAGACACGTAACAACACAACAATATTAAACACAAAACACAATTCTTGCAAAATATGCAGAAAAACGAGGTATTGGTTGAAAGAAAATCAATAAAAATAATAAGAAACAACCAAATAGATCGGTTATTTTTCTATATTCTTTAAAAGAAGCATTTGATTTTGACTAATGCGTTTTATATATTATTTATGGGTAAGAGCGCTACGGATTGGATTTATATCCGATAAATGTGTGTGTGTGTTGCTGTGATAATATGTTTTAGTGAATGTGTAATAAATAATAATCACAATTACTTGAGACATACACATGTTTAATAAACAATCAACAACTTAAGAAACTTTATATTAAAGACAACGCTTGAAATTATGATAAATTCAAATCCATAGTTTTGAGAAAGCTCAGCCCCAAATATATATATTTTTATAAACTAAATGTGGCATTATATCCACTTATGCAATGATTGAGTAATAATCATTACAATAAACAAGAAAGAAAGTTAACTTTGGGAAACCCTATCCTTAAAATCATGGGTTCCAATGTTCAAAAGATCATAACTGAGTCAAAAATTCATTAATTTCAATTCGGAAAGCGATTCCGTGCTAGTTTTTATAAGTATAATAAATCTGCATTCTGAGTTTTACAATCTAAAAGTTTCAATTTTTATCAAATTTTTTTTTTGACAATTTTAATGATGTACCCTTATAAATTTCAAAATTTGAGAAAATTAAATTTTAACCGGACATAGCTAAATCGATTCGGCTGTTGATGCTGATCAATAATATACATGGTTTATAGGTTCGGAAATGATTCCTCAAGTGCGTTGCAAGCTTCTAACTGAAATTATAATAGGGTATCAAGATGCCTCAACATGATTTCTATTTGGCATTTATAGTTGACCCCATATTACGACATTATTCCACACTCGAAGCTTGTATCCAAGCAGACGACACGCGCCTGGAACATGCCCCTACATTCGGATCTCATTGAAATAACCCTGACCTGTCCATGAATATTCCACCGTAACAGATTCCACTCACAGTCCGACAGAGATGCCAAGCTGTCGGTCGGTCTATCACTTAATGTGAAGCTCTGTGTCACTTTGCCCAGAGATGGGTTCTGCATGAGATTCCCCTCGAAATTGAATTTTAAATTGGAAACATTTCGGGACGCAGACAATTTATAAAAATGTACAGAGTAGCAAAGGGGCAAGCAGCACTCCTCCAACCTAGAAGCTTGTCCAAGCTCAGGGACTTATCCTTGTCCCAGATTCATTCCGACTTGGTCGACCCCAAGGGCATGTCCGTGTTTTTGTTGTCTACTGTCTGTCCACCTTGTGGCTGTCTGTCGCAGGTGAGAGTAACTAGTTAGACACCATTTACTAGTAATTGCTTTATGGATAATAGAGGGTACGAAGGACCTGCTTGAACGCTTACTAATTAAGCAATTCTAGAATGTAACTATTCTGTGAATAAACACATCAGAAGGTAGCTCAATTTTTAGGTTTAAATAAAGTCTGACGATATTGATATTCCTAGATTTCATTTTTGTTATACCCCACTTGTCATAGGTTAATTGGTTTGTGTTGATTAGATCATTAATAGAGTTGTTTGTATTGATTAGGATTGGGTTGTAAGTTAAATTGGAGGCAGTGGTGGTGGTATCAACCTTACTCCCATAAATATTGTACAATCTTTTTACAACTCTGCACACAAATATATGTAGCTTATGTCTACCTTAAGAAGTACTCAAACCCAAGGTAAGTACTTGCTAGAACCCATAGTGATTAGTAGAAATTGAAACAAAACAAAAAGGGGGAACGTAACGAAAGGCAACAACAAACGAACGAACGAGTAACGAAAAACAGGTGACAGGATATGTTAAATGGAAACGAAAACATCTGTGTTTTTGTGGGGCAGTGGACCAATACCAAGGACCAGGACTATGTCTAGGACTAGAACTAGTAGGTCGCGAAAGCGGCGTCTTAGGCTAAACATTCAGGAACACAGTCTAGAAGATCACTAAACGATTAACGAGTAACGAGAAAACTTTGAACGAGTGACGAGCTACCGTCGGCCCCTAAAGGTTTGAATATGCAACTAGTTAATGGAAAACATTTTTGGCATTTTTGCTTGACTTGGTTGGTAATCAAAGCGCGACGCACCTCATTAGCTCGTAGGCAGCATTCGTGGAATGTGGCCGCACCACGAAGGCATCCTGGTTGGCCAGGGGTGTCGAGGAGCTGCCCTGCAGGATGTTGCGCCGATAGGCTCGCTCGAAGGGTGTGCGCGACATGAAGGGCATTGAGCTGGCAAAGGATTCCGCCGGCGAGTCCACCACGTCGTAGGTGAGCAGACGATTCACATAGCTACTGCCCAGCGCCGGCTTCTCCGCCGATTGGATGAGGCGCGGGAAATTCGGTTTTCGTTCGGTGGTCGGCGTGAGGAATGGGTCTGCCTCGATGCGTTCGCTTACGATGTCCGGTATGGTGCCCATCGATCGCATCTTCTGAATGGGATACTGCTGCGACTGGGGAGTATCGTTGCAACCATCCTGGCCGATGAACTTTGCATTGCCCACCTTAATGTGGTGATGGCTCTGGTGGTTCAAGTGCTTCACATACAGTTTGCCTGCTGAACCATTCGAGGCGGTGGAGTTCTTGCGGAGATGGTGATGCTGCTGGAAGCGGAGCCGCTCCTCCAGTGACTGCTCGTGCATTCGCTGAAACTCCTCACGGACCGCCTGCTCCGCGTACTCATCGAAGCAGAGATTATTCAGTGACTTCATCTTCGGTATCTGGGCACGCTCCGCCAGCTGCTTGAGTCGTCGCGGTGAGTTGCGATCCAGCTCCATGGAAGCCTTGTGGAACTCCATCTCAAGAATGGATAGATTCTCCATCGACTTGATCTTGGCCACACGTGGCGTATGATAGTTTTCCTCCAAGCCGGAGTCATTGTCACCCGAATCCTCGTTCAGGTACTCATCCGTGTCGCTCGCCTCTCCGCTGTCATAATACTGTGTGGCATGTGATGGAGATCCCGCACTGCGATAGGTGGAGGCGGGTGTTCCTCCGCCCAACGGATGGAACTGGGGTGGCCCAATCTCGGCCATTGGAGTGCGGAATTCCTCGAAGGTCAATGTCTCCTGAACTGTGGTGTTCATGGTGGCGTTGGGGGTCTGATACAGCTGCTCCTCGCTCACATACTCAATCGTGGTGCTGAGGCTGAGATGGGTGGTCTTCTGGACCACTGGAAGGACATTGGGCGGCTGTTGCTGGTCCGGAGAAGCCTTTTGTCCGCGATGACGCCCGTGAGGAATACTCAATTTCATGGCATTTATTGCTCTCTGATTAAGTCTATTGAGAAGAGAAACGGATTTTCTAAAACGACTATAATTTGTTTGTTGATTTTGATTTGGACGACAGTCGCAGATTGATTTTATCGTAACGGATTGGGTTATTCGAGAGAGATTTTGTTGGGCAGTTGGTTGATTGGTTAGTTGGCCATTTACCCCAGTTTGTTATATATATACAAAGCACATAAATTTAGTTTAAAAAAAAGAAAGAAAACAAAAATGGGGTTAAAATAATTTAGAAAGAAATTAGGTAAACGTATAATAATAATAATAATAATGTTAAGGTTAATCTAACATAAATTATAAGGACTACCATAAGACCATATATATTAGAGAACCAATAAATAAACACCAGGTTATTAATCCTTGACCTTGAATATAAACCAAACTAAAATATATTAATGCAACCTTAACCATTAGTCCATGAGGAATGACACTCAATCAGTTGCTATAAACTAAATCTAATATAGAATAAATATATAAATAAGAAACCTTCTACTTGAGCTCAACACATTTTCAGCAGCTTCAATCAGGCAAAGGCAAAAGCCACAGGCAGGATTTGACTTTCGAAAAAAAGGAAAAACTCAGGACAAGCAACCTTTGTGCCTCATGCCTCATGACGCCACCCAGTTGATGAAGTCATCAGATTCATATTTCATCACAAAACCATTTCCTTGGCTCAACGGGTTTCATTTGCTGTCTTGCCCCCCGCTAATCGCTGACTGCATGTGTGCATATTTTTTGTTTTATATACATATATTTTTTGAATTGCAGCCAACATGCAAGTAAACCACCAGCCACCACCGACTAGGAGCCAGCCGGTCTGGTCATGGGAACAACAAAGATATAAACCGAGTCGTCAGTCTGACCTTAAACTTTGCAATGGGAAATTTGTTGCATGCTGCTCGTCTGCAGCATCCGCAGCCCTGCCACAGTACTAACGAAAATTTGCATAACATAATTGAACGGAACGCTCTTCCACGAGTTGTGAGGAGAGCTGAGGGGGACCGACCGTGTGTTCTGGAAGTGATTGTGTCTGGTTAGATGGCCCTGAGAGTTCCTAATGGACATGCCACCACAGCTAGGATACGGCAGGACATTTAAGAGAAGGCAAAATAAAAGAAAGGGACATTACTTGGAACTAAGAATTGATAAATAAAATCGATGTAATATCGCACTACATTAATATGCAGTAATGTTCCCCACGGCACGAATATTATCAGCAGAAAGCATTTAGAATTACATATTTAGCTAGAATACTTAAACTACCTTAAAGTAGAAAAAACAATATCTTTTTAAATATTAAAATAAGAAATAAAAGAAAGACAGCCGAACCATCAATAAATATAAAGAATACAGGATACTTCAAGTTCACTTTTGTTCTAAGATAATATGTTATGTATTAAATTTATCCCTTTATAAAGTAAAAGGAATCGTATCGAAAATATCATAAGATTTGATATATCAACATTTAAAACTTGATAACAACTGTATTAAGCGTTAAAATATTGATATTGATCGTATTTCAATGAGTTCTCTCAATAAAATATAAGAAATATCGTAGGGATATATTGTATTTCTATGAAACAGACAAATTTAGAACTTCCTTAAAATATTGATATTTTTGTAACTCTATTAGGGATATCAAAAGTTACACTCGAAGTTGCATTAAAAATTAAATTAAAAGAAATATAGTCTAGGTTCGACTGTATGTAAACTAAAACTAAAATAAAATAAAGATACTAGTACTAATAACTAACTAACTAAAGACTGTGGTGTATTGTTCGGTCATTTGTTTTTTGTTTTCTTCGAATACATTTTGTAGTGTTATGAAACGAGCAGTGGTTGCATTAGTTGTATATTTAGCCAAGTCAGAACACAGACTTGTCGTGTGTGTGAAAAGTATTAATTTTCTTTAGTGTAGAAGAGTGTATTAGGTACAATTTGAGTAGTTTTGTAAGTACATATATAGCGCATTTAAGGAGATTAGAGCTTCGTAGCTTAATATCATAATGTTATTGAAATAAGTTTACGCTTACACGAATCGTAGGCAAAAAATATAACAAAATTAATTATACAAGAAAGTAGGTCGAGGCTTTTTACAGAATAGCAATTATCAATAGAAAGATTTCTTTCTTCACTCACCTAGCATGTCCCGAATCGCCCTCGGAACTCTGCCTTGAATGCTGACTGTGCGAAAAACTACTATAACCCGAACCTTTTGACATCTAAATGAGGAAAAAGAAAGCACATATAGTATGACTTGACTTGTTGGATCTTTAAGTAAAACCCACTTGACTAGTATTACTGGAATTCCTCGAATGACCCATCTCGATAAGTGTGGCATTGCCGCCTCCGGAGAATCCGATGCCCACACCCGTTGTCCCATAGTTGTTGCTACCGATTGTCCCCAGTCCCGGCATTGCCTGGGTCACCGGTGTGGTGGCGGCGGTGGCATTAGAAGCTGCAGCGGCGGCATGTTGCTGCAGATTATCCGTGGTCAACGTTACCGCCGACTCCGAGGACTCTGACAGCCCGGAGTCCGTCACTATGGCTGCTAGCAAAGCCTGTGCATCGAACTCTGCAAAGGTATCTGAGGTTAGATAGGTGATTGATTGGATATATCATGAGATTAACTCCGAAACAAGGTACATATCGGTCTAAAATCCTCATGATGTGTAGCAGTACTCACCCTCTTCTTTCGTGGTGGACACGGGCCTTGTTCCCGGCAGCGACTGATTGCTGGGTACACCGCCCAATGTGGCTCCACTACCGCCCAGGGGAATGGCCGAACCACCACTGCCGCTGCCTATGCTGGGCAAAGCGGTGGCCGTTGGTGTCTGCAAACCCACTCCGGTGGCTGCATTGGCCAAATCATCCATGGAGGGTTTGCTCTGCTTGCTCTTTAGGCTGGGCGTGGGTCTGCAAAGAAAGGTTATTACAGGTTCACCAGGGGTTACACGACCTTATACTTACGCCTTGAACAGAATGTCGCCGCTCAGCATGTGCATCTTGATGCTCACCCGCAGCATCGAGTTGTCCAGGCGATGACGGGAGTCGTAGCCTTCGAGGAGGAAGCGACGCGAGGTGAGGCCGGCGCCGGCAAACTCGGCAAGATTGAGGTCGATAAAACCCAGCTTATAGTAACTGCGTCCGCCCTTCATCTCCTTGCGTATCGAGATGCGCAAGTGACAGGGATCCAGGACACCGGTTGAGGCATTTGCACTCATTTTGCAGGGGAACTCGAAGCTGCGATTCCACTCCACGCGATGGTTTCGCACATCCTCTCTATAAAAGCGATTTTGATTAATATTTAAATACAGTATAACATCAAAGACAGACAATCTTACCGACTACTGTACTCCTGAAAGGACCCGCCATCGAGCAGTCGTATTTTGGCAAACAACACCTCGTTCACCAGGGCAACCTCGACTAAATCCTGCAACTGCACTTCCACGTTAAACTTGTACTTCTTCTTTTTCATCATAAAGGCCATGCCAGGGGCGCTAGGCCCAAGAAGTGTCATCAATTCCTCTCCAACAATGCGTGATCGTTAGCCGTCCTGCCACGGATTGGATGGGGGGAAAAAGGATCTGCGGCGGTTGCAAATGAACCGCCTTCAATTGACGAAGCTCTCACTCTGCGGTGTATCACTGTATCTTGTGTCCTTTTTTAAAAGTTGTGGATGCCGCTTTGCGTCCTTAGTTGTGTCAATAAAATGTTCCTCTGCTGCTCACTTCATATCTTTTTTTAGGGTTAACGGTGGGTTTACTGATCCTCGTTACTGGGGATGCTGCTGCCTCCTGCTAGGTCCAGTGGCATGCAACACTTTCCAGCTGCAAGTAAATTAAGCAAAGGAAAGTTTCGGTTTATATAGCAATTTTTCGACTTAAAAATTATGAAAATTTGTAAGCAGGGTCTCAAGGATTTGAAGACCGGCTTGGTGTTTCTAATTTTGTGCGTCCTAATTCTAAACCGAACAAAATTATAGGAATTTATCAAGTTACAAATATTTTAGCATTTTAATTTTTTATTAGAAATTTAGATCCTGGCTTTCTTGTCAGATATTTGATATACATATTGTCTTGCAGTGTATATCTGTGCCTCATCTCAGCAGCTTGTTATAATATTCTGTTAATCTTTAATCTAGTTTTTGAAAGCTTACTTAATTTCCTCAAAAATCATAAGATGTCCCAAGACCCACAACATTTTACACACATTTGGACACTCCGCATCAGCATAATAAATCAACTTTTCCATGTTGATGGAAGCCTTAAGATGTGTCACCTAACAACATGGAAATTCTTTTAAGGAAGCGTCTAATAAACAAGTCTCACTGTCAGTCAATCATTTTTCCACCAAAACCATCCGTAATTTTTGCAAATAAATGCATATCCTATAATTGAGCTAACAACACGTAAACAATTAAGAACGGCAAACACGCAATTGGGAATCGCATGACCAGAGTGCCACCGCCAAGAGCTTGGCACTTGATGCAAATATTTACCATATAATTCCGAGCGATTTGGGACGCCTCTTCTTGAATTCTACGGAATCAGTGACGCATTACCTTGGCGGTTGACTATTGTTGCCATTTTCCCTGCTCTGTGTTATCTCAGGCCCATGGCATCTTGGAGAACTGATACGCATTTAGATTGGTGACTAATTGGGTTTCCGCCGACAACAAATATACATATTTGAACTCAATTAATATATATTGCAGCAGGTTGGCCATTTTATTTGATTTTATTCAATTTGCTTGCTGTCGGAGTGCAGACTAAATGAGGTCACCACTTTTGCATAAATTGCTTGCTGACAAGGCAAAATCGTGGGCGAAACAATTGTGGCAAATCGAACCTTAATTTTCCTTTATAGATTTTCATAATAACCATAAAGCAAACACAAATCCCTGTTCCGCCAATTATGTTCATTACACACGCATTAGCCCCACCAATCGAGTGGACAAACATGGCGAAAAACCAATCAGGAACCCAAAACCATTAACCCACTTACACCCTCCTCCTCCCCCCTTCGGAAAGAGTGCCGATTTGGGTGATTTCGTTTTGGTTTAGTTTTCCTTCCGTTTTGGGGGTTGGTTTTCCGAGTCGCACCCCAAATCCCCCCAGCGAACACAGCAAGTTTAAAGTAAAACTTGGTTCTTGGCCAGAAAAGGGAGATTTAGTGGAGTGACTTCCTAAAAGGGATTGCCCCCTGGCATGTGAAATCTCTGACCCAGTAACTGACTAACTGACTTTGCTTTGTTTCCCTCGGACACTCGGCCACTCCTTTGGAGAACTTAAACATGCAACATTGTTAATAGACACTCAGTATCCTTTCCATTAGAGGCAAGTGCCCGAGGATTTGCCAAGGGTAAATTAGTCCCAGACAAGCCCTGAACGAGGGACTTGAGTTCTTGCTTTTGCAAGAAATTAAATTCAAGCTTTGCAGACACTTTTGATTAGAGCTACAATTGTCACTTGATTGCCAAATTGCTCTTCAATAAAATGTTATTAAACCTTTTGCTCAAAATGTCACGAAATGGAGAAGAAAATAAAAATAAATTAACAGGCTGAAAGCAAACGACGATTTTGATTATGTCACATTGACCTTTACCTTGCCGCACACACATCATTGCCACATTTTTAGCGGGCAAGGTGTCTATTTATTAACAATGACGCAGCAGCAGCATATCTTGCGACTGACACAGGGGGAAATTAGCAAATATTTCTTGCAAAATACCTACATACATACACAGGGAGCAAATGTAAATGCAAATTCTTAATTCAACTTGGGTGCGACCGACTCAATTGGCCGCCGCGCAAAAGTTGGCTAAAACCAGAGTGCAGGCAAACAAACAACAATCCGAACAGCTGGCGCCACTCGATGACAGCCAAAGCTGTAAACAAAGTATTTGCGGGTTGTGTGTGAGGTGTGTGTAGGGGGTGTGTGTGTGTCAGAGGTGTGTGGGGGAGGCAGGCAAATGAAATGGCGGAAGCATTCAAATTGTGATTTTCAACATCACAGAAAAGTAATACTTGGTTTAGTTAACACACATAAAAGATATTTGAAAGAATAGCAAAAATATATTAATATTTAAAATAGTAAAGCTAGTACTACTTTATATTAAATAAAGTGCAGTTAAAGTAAACAAAAGTAATAAGAATTTTCTGTATGTATAATACAGATTATTTTTTATCAATATTTTAAACTTTGCACTCAAAAACATTCCCATAAATAGCTTCTTAAGACATATCATCATAAAGTTACAAAGAATAATGATAATCACATTTTCTTTAAGAATTATCATGTCTCATAAGTTCATATAACATTACATGTTATCTTTAATCTTTATTTCTTTTAAAATATATAATCATAGTTTTCTTTAAGAACACTACATTCCGTTAATCTTCACTTTTTTGTCTTCTAAATATAAGTTTTTCTGCATTTTGTATATCAACATAAGAGTATCTATCTTTGGCATTTGCCTGTCAGTTACATTGCATTACCCTGCACTTTTCTGCTTTCCCCATTTTCCACCACTTTTCCACTGTCAGTTACCAGCTATGACGTTCTTCTTTCGCGTGGGCGTCGACTGGAGGCCAAGTCCATGCGCAAATTCCCGTAATTAATTCCGTCAAAGCATAATGGGATTCAGCGAGCTTCCCAGGTCGTCCACGAGCTGGCTCCAAATCGCGCCTCCAGACAATGATAGTATCTGTTTCACTAATCAGCCTCCGCCAGATGCGACAAACTTGATAACGGCAATTTGAAAACGCCAAGGCAGTGGCAGAGAAACCAAATTAGCTGCCTGTGACGGTGACACTCATCACATGTGGTGGTTGTCTTCCCAGCGAGAGGTGTTTAAAGAGTTGATATTTCAAAGAAATACACAAAATTTGCTAACATGCTTTTCTTAAACCCTTTTCTGGATATTACAGTTTTATTTAGAAGCTTGCAACGATGTGAAGGAATAATTTCCGAGCCTATAAATCATATATATTCTTGATCAGCATCAACAGCAGAGTCGATTAAGCTGTCCGGTTAAAATTTATTTTTTTTCAAACTTTTGCAAATTTTATAAGGGTTATATCATTAAAACTGTCGAAATTAGCCAAAAAATGTAGTTTCCACTATTTTAAAACTAAGTATACAGCTTTGTTAGCCTTATTAAAACTAGCACAGATAAGCTATCTGAATTCAAACTATTGCATTTTTGGTTTAGTTATGATATTTGAAAAACATTGATTTAACCAAAAAATTTCCTCTTAAAATATCGTTTTATAATACTAATTAAAATATAATATACATATTTCGGGTTTTCTTTGTACTATAAGAAGACCTAGAAGCCAATGAGATCCAAATTAAGCAAACACTTAAAAGCTTTACAAATTGATATTAATGGATTTAGTTTAGGTTTACTTATGGTCGATTGGACAATCGAAACCATGATCCTGGAAGGCTATTTAAAGTTAGATTTATTCTTGTTATAAGCATATATTTATGGAGACTCAGTGACTGTGTTAATAATAAAGGTTTCAATGAAGAAAATAAGACTTAGGGTGTCCAGATTATATCTTTATATATGTAGATATTTGAGGAAAAAGATGCTGTAACTTTTATATTCAGCGTTATATTATTGTCGATATACCATATTAAACTTATCCTGCCTATATGTTCACATCAGTATATAGTCTTATGCCTCATACTTAATCACAAACACAATCTTTTAGATCCAACCTCGTTTGAGTAGTACTTCCGCTGCCCGACTGAGTGTTTGCCCTGCTGCAGCTGTTGCACATATGTCGAAATGATTTTGCATGTTGCCCGCAGATCTTCTCATCTTGATGACCGATCTTTCAGAGCAAAACAATCCCAAGAAGTCTCTCTCATCTCCCCAGAAATATTTTAGCCCTAATGATGTGTAAAGCAAAATACAACCATCGAGCAATCGTCAGAGTTCTCAGTTCAAATGGGATCGTATCGTATAGGATCGGTTGGGGGCAAAACATATGCCGGCATATGCCAAAAAAGCCAAAAAGCCGCGAGGTCATTCGAACGACCCGAGTGTCGGCTGAGTGACTGACAGAGTAACTCGGCCCATAAAGATAAGCACGGGGTGCCCCGGGAACAGCCGATAAGTACATTCCATCCATGGTTGGAATCTTCAATGCAGTGCAAACATTATTTCAAATTAGCCCATAAATTAACTGCCCGAGAATTCCAAATGATAATGTAAACACAACAATCAAAAAAACCATGGAATGTTTCTACGAAAAATATACATACCAATGAATATTTTAGAATGCTTTCTATAGTATTGAATATGTTTCTTATTATATTTTGATATTTCCTGTTTTTATTAGAACTTAATTTGGAATTTTCTTAAAGAAACGATATAGAAATCTATTAAAAAGAAATGTCAAATCAAATCCTTGAAGGAAACTACAAAGCTCAGTTCCTTCCTAATAAAATCCCATACTCTGCACTTTTAAATAGTAAATAAATACACCAAAATATCAATACAAATTAAAAGGAATTCAGTGTTTTCTCACAATATAATTTGAACTTCTTAACCTTTTCAACTTTTAACTCTTTGTTATAACAAGAGTACTGACAGCACGTGTCTTGTTTGAAGGGATGCTTGAGTGATTTCTTCTTTTGCTTGGGACAAAGCAAGTTCAACATTAAAAGAAGAATGAGAAGTACAGTTGAGGGGAAGGGTTTTGAGTCAGACAACCCCAGACATTGACCTTGGCTTTGTGTTAATGGATAGTGCTTTAAACTCATGGCCAGATCTTGTAGTAATAAGGGACGTGGAACGACCTATACTCAACTA